TGTCCCACAGGTCCTAAGGCTCTGCTCTGACACTCAATATGGGAAGCTACCAGGCAGTTTCCAGAGATGTGGATGGCACGTCTCTGCTCCTGCGCTTGTCATTGGAGTACTTTTTGTCTATAATCAGAGGTGATAGACAAAGGGAATTTTAAAACTCTTGTGTTCTTCTTTCTGTTTAATAAATACTGTTATTTCAAGGAAAGATTTGCATTTCTGTTAATTTTGATTTAGTTTCTAGACCCACACCTTCTGTGTGCTTTAAGCGGCAGGTTACCTGCTCAGAAAAAAATGCATCTGTGAACTATGGGTATGGCATCAGCTAAGAGAATTTGCAGTGCTTCACGTGCAGTGTAGCAGATGGACTCTACAGATGAGTTAACAGTGACTCATAAGATTGTCTCAAATAATGGATTTTTTTTTCCCTAAAAGGCTTAAAACCCCATGCGCTTTGGGGAGGAGAGCTCCAATAGCTACTCTTGCAGAGCATGGGGTATTCAGTAAGGTCTACAGAGCGGCACCTATAACCTTGCAGAGGGGTAAGCATCCCTCTTGCATGTGTAATTTGTGCTACATTTTATAACAAAGATGAACAAGAAAACAGACACCACCCCCCCAGCCCCCAAATACCAACCCCACATTGTATTGTGAGAAAAGTCATAGTCCACCCTGTACTTTCTATCTCTGTTTTGGGCTTTTAGTGCCTGCAAAACTTGAGCGGCTTCCAGTTTAGTCATTTCCCCTTATCAGGAAATTCAGATGAAATTACATTCCTACCGGAGGCTTTTAGAGGTATAGAGGAGTCCTGTTTGCCTTTACAGGAGATGTATTTTTCTGGCATCTTTTCTTTTTTTTCCAGCCAAGTAGTGGTCATCTGCTCGCTTCCAGTGTCCACAACCCCTTCTTCATTTTCACTGCAGATGTGTCTCTGAAAATGAATATTTTTGTCGTCTCGTTGCCCAGTTACCCAATCTCTTCTCAGAAGAGAGACAAGGCGGGAGAAAAGCGGGTAAGCCCTCTCTCCACAAAGTTTATTGAGTACTTAACCAGCTTCCCATTATCAGGAAGGGGATCCATCTGACCAAATCTTTGCTAAATTGGGCAGCAAGAACTGTACCTAAAGCTAATTTTCTGAACAAAGTGGTAGCTGCCTGCTTTTAACTATCCCCCAGAAGAGTTATCTGGACAAGGATCAATACTCATGAGATGAGCAAGCTACTGCTGTTTATTAGCTGTGCCTAGAGCCTCCAACAGCTACCAGAGCCTGGCTTCGTTCACTGATGACCTCTGCACCAAAACACTTGCTAAAGAGAGAAAGAGCAAAACAAAGGGGGTTGGTTGGAGCCTGGAGCTAGGGCACGGAGGAGGAAACAGGAGGAAACTGAGCCCTCGTCCCACCTGGCTGTGAGGGGGGAAATGGGAAGGATGGAGGGAGGAGGCAGAGCGCTCTCCTGCGGGAACCTGGCACACGTCCCCCTTTGCATGGGGTATCCTCTGCCCCGATGTCTGACCCTCAGCTGTCACAGCCCTCTCCCCTCTCACACCACCTCCTATTTCTTCCGAACGCCCCTAGCTTCGTCCCGCTGCTCGGCAAGCCACTGTCCTCTCCCAGGGCATGACGAGGTGCTGTTAGCAGGGTGGCCTACCTCAAGGGCCTCCTGGCAGCCTTTACTACCTGCAGACAAAGGTGTTAGTGAAGTAAGCAGGTGAGCCAACTCCCTTTTTATAAGGTTTGTGGAATTATTTTGGCACTAAATCAGTGCCGGTGGAGCATGCCCCCATCAATGCCCTTTAGGATCATAAACGGACAGGTCAGAGCTGCCAGGTCACATTAATCAGAAAATAATAATAATAATAGAAAAAAATCATACCAGGATTTCCACCATTTTACTTGGTTCATAAGGGTCTCAGTCACCAAAACTGTGCTTGTCTGCATGCCCAGCAACCTTGGTGCAGAGCTGCTGAAGCAGAAATAGCTGCCTGGCTGCCTCCAAATCCAGCCTCAGAGCAACCTCCAGCGGCAGCGAGCCGTTCCGCAGACATGGCACCAATGCTCGCCTCTGGGAACCCCAGTCCGCCTTTTCCACCACAGGGTAACGCTGGCCCTCTGTCCAGAGATGTTCATGCAGAAATAATGTAAGACCACTACCCTTTCCATTAAGGCACCAGGATAAAAATCTGCTTTCAAAACATTAAATGGTCAGTACTTCCCCATGACTCATCTAACAGTCGAGATGTGCTTCTGGCACAAAACCAAACCCGTCATCCATTGAAGACCCAATTAAAAAGAAAAAAAAGGGGCAGTTATTAGTTTAAAATTTTGTGTAAACTTTCTGCTGGTCACTGGTGAAGTCACATAGTCGTTGAGATTCAAAAATCAGTGATACTGCAGCACATGCGTAACTAAGCACAAACTCAAGGATCATTGCTATGTAGAAATGGAATTAACCAAGCACATATTTAGCTTTGCAATATGTAAGTGCTTTATTGAGTCAAAGTCTGAACCACAGTCCACCGACGTCAATGCAAGATCTTTAGAGGACTTTGGGTTCGACTCACAGAAAGCCATCTCTGCTCGTCTTTTACCACGACACCCACACATGCTCTTGGAGATACAGCTTACAGCAGCAATCCACAGGGTATTGTCCCACCTCAAGTACATCTTTTTCATTGTACTAAGTTTTGTGGAATATAGCGCAGTTGAATGTACCCCAATCAAGCAGAAGATTTTACCGAAGGGATGTACGCACTCTGCAATCCAGTTTCACAGACACATCGCATGCAATAGAAGTTAGTTATAATAAGTAAAATCAACACCACCAAAGGTAATCAACATTTTATTTATAAACATACATTTACTATAAAAGCTGTTGCATTTTAGACAAGTTTTCCTAATTTCCAGAGGCATTTTAGAATAAATAAAATAAAGATTAGCGTAACTGGTATTCAACATTAGCCCCAGCTAGGACAGCTATCCTTGTCCTTGAATGGACATGCAGATAAGGATGGTCCCCTTCTGGTTCACCAACCTTTAGGACATTCACTGAAAACTACAGATGTACTGCATCAATAACACTACATAGCAAGAGTAAGGAAAAAGTACACCATGGAAAATGGGTTTGTGAAATACAGATGGGTTATGACACCTGTTCAGGTCCTTTGAAGTAGTAAGAGGCTAAATAAATTCTGAAACATCTAAAACCCATTACATACATTGTACTTGCTTAGCAATAATAAATCATTTTTTGCATCAAATACATTTACATTGTAGTTCAATTGTAGTAAAGTGTTATTTTTTTCTGTGCTCAAAGTTCCTGATAAGAAATGTATCATATTTATGTGTTTAAACTGGAAAAAAAAAATTTAGCCTGAATGAATTTCTCATGTAAGACTCCAAAGGAAATGTAAAATCAAACATAAACTGTTGGCAAGTACAATTTAGATAACTGTTGAAAATGATATTGTGCTGGTGAACAGATGTTCATGAGGGGGAAGACTTGTCATCTGAGAACGCCGCTTCATTTCGCTTTACATACAATCAACTTTGCTAAAACATGCATATATGAAACTAATTCATAGACACTGGGATCAATTTCTAAGCAGCTTCAGAGATCCAGTGGTGTGTCTGCAGTGCGATGCATGCCCCCCCTCCCCTCGCCCATGCGTTTTAGTCCCAGCCATGCTCCTAAGCCCTTTGGGCACTTACCCCTATGTGAATGAGAGGCAGATCTAACCTCTGTGACTACCAACCCTTTTACACACCGGGGACCAATTTGCACATCTAAACTCTACCACGTGGGTGAAGCGGTGTTAGTGACTCATACCAAATAGACGCACAAGCATGCATGGTCTCGTTTAAAAATTAGGCCCAGACTTCATATATTCACATAGCCTTAGCACAGCACATAGAATTACACAGATGTACAAAGTCAGTTATAAAATCTGCTTCTTGAATTTCCATGTTACACATTATTTGTGGGAAAATGTTATGATGACCACATGCAAAGTGTAAACATCCTGGTTATCAAAATCCTTTAATGGTAAGTCATGCAGACGGTTAATCAAAGTATTAGACATCACTGGTTTATTTCCAAAACATTTTTTCTGATTTTTAATGTTTTTTTAAAAATATTCCCCAGGTGAAGTCCATGAAGGACTTCATCTTTTTGGATTTATTGCATCCATAAGTCATCGTGGACTGTGTGCAACAGCTTTGCATTTTCTAAGGCACAATTTGAAGGAAGTAACATGTAACTTTCCGGTAGATAGTCACCCGGTCCTCCACTGACAATATCCTACATGGGTTTTCAATGACATGCAGTTTTGCATGGGTAAGCAACTCACATGCAAGCAACTGTCTAGTGTTTAAATAAATAGTTGCTAGCTATAGAACAACTCAAAATTATTGCTTCCCTAATAACCACTTCATTTCCATTTACCAACACATCAAAAGACAACGGATATGCACATACATAAAATAAATCTCTATTAATTTAGTTTTACCATGGTTTTAAGGCAGAACAAGTAGATCTTTCCCCCCACCACCATTTTAAGTTGCATCATGAACTGCTAAGGTGGGATATTTCCAATAACTGTTTCCCAAAAAGTGCTAGGATATTTTACAGTTGCAGCACATCCCCTAACCTTGTCCGTGTATTGTAGATAAAGTGACACAGCTCTGACTGCTGTTTTAACGAGCTGCTGGATCACTTTAGTAAGAAGCACGTGCTTAATCAAAAAGCACAATGGAAAACCGGCCCGAACGCAGGCAAGTTCAAGTTTTTTTGCCTACTGCTGCCAGCCTCCTCCCTGCCCGCCTTCCGCACTCCCGGGTTTTGCTGACTTTATTGGGGTGGTGTATGGAGGAAGACAGGCTCAAGGCTGTTTAACTCCCTGCTCTGGAGGGCACCCACAACACATGTATTTCTCCGCATGAGATTTCAACCAACCGTAATGTTTGCAAGTGAACAAGCAGATCTCAAACCAACTCAGACCATCCATGGGCAAGTTACACGCCAAAGAGAAAAGCTTCACCATAGCATCAAACCGCAGCTCAGAGACTCACAGTTCAGCTATGTCCACCCACTGGGCCACCTCTCCCCCACATCACCTTTCATCAAGTTTGTAACGACACGGGCTGCTGAACTTAGTAAGAAGGATTGCTCCTATCGGGAATCTTGCCATCGTTAACGGTATACAGTCTTTAGGTTTAATGAAGAAATTTTTATTTGAGAGAATATTAAGCTATAGTCATGAACATTACTTGAGGTACACAAACAAAAAATCCTATCGCTAAAGGCGCAATAATTTATTTGTATAACTCCTACCCTCCACTGAAGGTAATATAAACACAAAATGCTTCAGAATTACAGGATGTATTATCAAACTAGTCTCTGTATAAAAAAAGTTATAGCTTCAGTTATAACAGAGAAGTCGTGCTGTGATGTTTAGTTTTTCAAATGCACTGATTAGATACTATCTTAAAATTACTTCTCAGCTCAAGTTGGCATATTCTATAAAGGTTCTGTAAACTTAAACTTTTTAATTCCTAGAAATGTTAAAACAAAACAGCTTTATTGCATGTTTATTTTCTTATTACTTTCAAAAGAACAAGGTAACAGATGGGAAATCATAAGCATACCTGAAAGGTGGGAGGTTTTTTAATAGTACTTAGGCTTTGCCTTCATACATATCTTGCAAATTTCTTAAGAAAGGGAAAAACCAACATATTGCATTTTAAAGGAGCAGGTGCAGCGTTTTTATGAGTTTTTCAAAACGAGATGAGAGCCATGATGTCCATGGATTCAAGCTCTTACAAGTGATTGTCTGGAGGCAGCCGATACATGTGAGAAGAGAGTTCCTTCTTGAAAGTTATTAGGACTGAAAGTCATGTCACAATGTAGTTGGCTGTCCAGCAGCTGGGTAAAACAAAAATCAAACCAAGTCATTAGTTGACAAATTTTAACAAACATACACACGCTTTTCCTCATGTGATCTCTACAATCCAAAAAAACCCCACATCTGGAAATATATATCATTTGTGCCCTGCTTCTCTTGCTTCCTGCAAAGCTGTAGCACTAACTGCAAAGACGGACTCAGCGTAACTCCAGTGGAAATATATTTTCCATGCCATATGGACAAATGCATTCTGCACACACTTTTATTCCATTTTAGTCCTGAAGTACTTGTAGGTGTATTTACTTTTAGGTTCTGCAGTGGAAGAATAGTAAAGCAAAGGACCGATGAGTGATCTTTAGCTGTGCCTGGGTTGAGTTACGGGGTAATACAGAGTGCTTGTGTTACTTGGCCATACAGGGAATCTCATGAATTTACTTCCTGCCTTTGACTTCAGCACTCACAAACCTGCAACTTTTCCCTGTGTCTGACACTGAATACCAAGTTCCCTTCCTTGTGAGGTTTTCTTGTAGAGAAATAACCTACCAGTAAAACCCCATTCACTTTTATTTGAAAAATAGAAATATTTTGGACCCCGGACCACTACATAATTTTTAATGCTTTTCACTCCTGAGGTTTTTGATAATTCATTTTGAAACAGAATAATCCACAGTTCTGGTAGCCAAAATATTTAATTGAGATGTCCATAAACATCCCAAAACAATAATGATTAATTCTGGGTTGGTCAGAGACTGTCAGTTGTGCGCGCTGCTGTACAGGTTTTCAGATGTAGCCGCAGGGGCAGGAAGGCACGAGCTGTGCAGTCAGGCAACAAGATTTTATATTGAGCATCACACTTCCCAGAACTGAAAGGCAAAACACTAACATTGCACCAGTTTGTTCTTCAGTTCAGATGTGGAGCCCATCAAATTCTAGTTAAAAATGAGCAACTAGCCATATTTGCAGTTTTTTCAAAATCAGTCCCTTTGAAACTGTCAACAAGAGCCAGTGTAACTTAAATTCAACTAACTCATATTTTAGAGATTTTGCATGAAGAGTGGACACAACAGGAGGAAGCAATTTGTCGGAAAAAAGACAAACCCTTGCCATGATTATTGTTCAGGAATCATACATTTCCTCAAAACCTGTTCCCTCTGTCATAGACCTGGTTACCGTTGTGCTAGGTACGTACTAATGCAAAACCTTACTGCACAAAACACTGTGCACAGCTCTGCACTGCATTTTCTAGCACTGCTGCTGTAGAAATGATGATGGAGGGGGGTGATTTCTACAGCATATAAGCTGATAAATAATTTATTTGAGCCTTCATTTATCCTTAAGGGGCCTCAAATTTTATTTAAGCAAAAAAGATTAAGAAGAAAAAGAAAATATGACTTTTATCACCTTCCTCTCTTTTTTGTGTAGATGGATGCGCAAACGTATATTTTAAGGGTCAGGACCTCATCCACATGAGGAAGGTTTATAGTACCAAGCTTAAAGAGGAAAAGCTATTTCTAAATGTGTCGGGTTAAATAAATAATAGTATGAAGTTGCTAACATTCCTCAGCAGAATTTAAAAAAAAAAAAAAATCACCAAACAAATGGTTATACAATAGCACCCTCTAGCTTTGCTGATGGGGAAATACCTCTCTCTTGAAACACTAGAGAAAAAAATAATTCATTCTGCTAGGAAAGGTAGGCAGGTACCTTTCCTACTCCTGGATTTCTACAGCCACTGCTTTTGAAAAAGACAAAGGGAAATAGTAAGTGAAAAGAGCTTTATATCTCCCCTTATCAGTTAGGACTGTAGGCAGTGAATATACTGAACAGTGACATGTATCAGGAAGACAACAATTACTCCTCTGTCTTTTTTCTGTGTCTTACTATTTTCCACAAAGTAAAAAGCCAGCGTGAGCACTGCCCATCTCATATCACCGGTGACATCAGGGTGAAGCTGAAATGCTCCAGCAATTTGGTATCAGTCACAGAAACCCAGGACAAGGAAGGAGATTCAAGTGACCTGCTCTAAGGCAGAAAAATGCATCAAGTTTTTTTCTGACATGCGACTGTCTGGCTCATTCTCCAAAACTTGCAGGAAGCAACACTTTAGCACATGTCTGGGGATACACCACAAGCATTCACTATGAGTTACAGAATGTTCCTAATATTTTCCTTGACTGTTTTGTCTACCAATGGAGGTCTGGAGATATAAAAAATGGGAACTATTCCAAACAAGGTCCAGAGTCCTAGAGCTAGTAGAAGTATCTACCTTGTCTCATGTGATGTGACAGATCTAAGCCTTCAGGACGTGCAACGTGTGTACATAGTGTAGGAGTTTGTATTTATGCACAGAAACAGCCTTTAAGTCTAATATTGCTGAGCAGAGATCCTCTTGGCAAGGTTTAATGGACTTGGAAATCTTTTTTGATACGAGAGGATGATTAGAACAGCATGGGAAGGCTCCTCTTCCCATCGCGAAGCTATGCCTGGGTGGCAAAGCCATTTGGACATAAGGGAGAACACTTTTCTTCCAGGAGGAGAAAAACTCAACAGTTAAAATCACAGTAACAGTATTGTTAGAGTTCACTGTCCTTTGGATGGGATTTGGTACTTACTTCTGGATCGGATATAACAATCGTTGCAGTTCAGAAGACCATTTCTAATCCTAACATCTGTCCCACTTGCTGCGTCTCCCAGCTGTCCCTTGCAAATGCCACACTGTCAAATGAAGAACAGAGAAAGTAAGAGAGACCATACCCTACTATCTATCTGTCACAGTTCTCCCCAAATTTTCACTTTTGTTTCAATAGTTCTTGGAACAGCAAGAATAAAATAACCCCCAGAACCCAGCCCATACTCCTGGAGCACTGCTCAGTGAAAGGTTTATTTTAAAGCCAATGGTATTTAGGACTGGATTTCAGCAGTCTCCACTTGTACAAAAGTGAAGTCTAGTGATTTTAAGGGACATCTGATTTTGACGTTGCATTCTGGAGACAGACTATTTGTGCTGGACTGGAGGTTTAGAGAGGCCAGAGGTTTAGTTTAGGTAAACGTCTAAAACCAGAAAAGGCTCCATGAATGTCTAAAACTAATTGGGCCAGAGATAATGGAAATGGACACTTTCTGAGTTCTCTGGAAAACACTACCTTCAGACACTCAAGAACAGTTGTGAACTGTTTCTGTTGAGAGCTCCGGTGAAAGGCTGACAACATCGTCCATTCCATAGTCAAAGCTTTCGAACCATGGGTCAGATCAAAGATGGTTTCGGGACTGACTGGGTTTTGAAAAAAAAACCCTCAATGTAACTAATCTTATATTTAAAACCAATGAGTACAAGTGGGAAATTATATGATGCTTCCTTCTGTAATACAGGAAGCTAAGTTTGCTTGCTAAATCACAGGTTTTAGCCAATTAGCATGTCTGACAACAAAATAACACATTAGCTGTGTAACTTCCACTTCTCTACAAAGAAACAAACACACAAACATACATAACAAACATGTGAATCCCTTGGTCCTCTTCTTTTCAATGTCACACCTATATATCTCAATATATTCTCTCCTCACACTGTGCATGACTTGAGATTTTTCTTAATAAAGCAAGAGACGTACCCTGAAGCACTGAATATGGAAATAAAGACCAAGTGTTTCAATAATCATGGCAGCTCCTTTTCCAAGAGGAAGCCCACAGGTAGAACAAAGCTTCTTTCCGCTGACAGACCTAGGAGACAAACATGACTTTAAGAAAACAGAACAGCAACTGATGCTAAAATGTACCCAAATGTTTACACAGGTTTATGGAGTGGGACAGGATGGGAGGAAGGAGCATTGGAGGGTGTCACATAAATACACGTTGACCCTTCAACCTTGTTGCTGATCAGCCTGCATGTCTGCCTTGCAGACAAGCAAGCGGAGCACTTCAAATGCTTGAATGCACAGCAGCCCAGACCCATTTCCCTGCCAGTCTGCTGTGCTAGATCAAGGGAGATGCAAGCTTCTTAACAGAGACCCAGATGGCAGGGAACCATGCCTGTGGATTACTGAGACCCAGCCAACGCCACAGCAATCGAAGCAGATATTCACACGAATTACCCAAGCCAGACTCTCAGCCTGTAAATTTTTCAATTTGTTTGCAAACAGGTTTGCTTACTGCAAGTCAGAAGGCAGGGATGCTGCTCTTACACCCAAAGAAGCTGGCAAAGTCAATAGTGGCAGCATAACTGCAGCAGCACAGACAAGCATCAGGCAGTTGCTAACTGATTTTAGTCTATGCTGCTGCAGTTACATGCCTGTTAGCATTACACCTAGTTAGAGCTGAAATCAGATCTCCATCTGCAACACAAGAATACTGCAACTCTCTCCTTAAGCTTCAGTCTTGTCTAGACTTTTCTAGTAAATCAGCTGTTTGATGACAGCTGGGTGAGCCCCAGGAATAACTGTTTCCCTTTTTCATAATGGTTTTAATGGCAGTGCAGATGCACACTTCTATGTGTTTCAAGCTCTTCCCTTCTCACCTGTGTGCCCGCCTGCCAGAACTGATGTTTGTCTAGTGAGATGAACCTGAGACCAAAAGGGAACACCTTGACATTATGCGTCATCCATGCTTTTTTCAGCCAGGGCTGAAACCAGGAGAGAAACTTTGGGATACTTCTTGAGTTTTGAGAAGATGGTTTGATGAAATTGTACACAGATAAGCAAGTTTACAACATCTTGGTTTATGGTTTTGGTGCAACAACATAATAAGCCACCAACAGAGACAGATCTGGACTGCATCATGATAAAAAAGCCATTAAAAAAAAAAAAAGCAGAAAGACTTCTGTTACAACCAGAAGACTGTCCTTGCTTCCATCTAATCTCTGTCACTCCTGCTGAGCTCATCATTCTTTATCCCACCACGTACACTGACAGCACAAGCACATCACTGTCTTGTTGCTTCATTCCCATTATCCCTCTTAGAATAACTTCCCTGTTTCTTCTCCTCCCCTACAACTTTATGCCTTCTGCTCACATCCTTCTGCATTATTCTTGAGTCTACCTTTGTTTTCACTTCTTCTCCACTATCACAGTTATTACAAGGACAAGTTAAAGTGCTTTGGGAAATTTTTTAAGAGAAGTTTTCTAACCTTTTAGTGGAACAATGAATTACATCCCATCCATTGTTTCCAAAACTAAGATTTATTTCAGGAAAAGATCTTGGAAAAGGGTCTCAGATCAGGATATACCTGCTAAATAATATGAAGTAGCTATCATGACTAGCTACATGTAGCAAGAAACTATCTGCAATCCCATCAAAACTGCAATTACAATTAGAATAAAGAGAAGAAATTGTTCACATAAAAATTCCTAATAGTTGCACATCGATGCAAATGGCATCAGAAGGAGGGCTTTGCTGTCAAATATGAAGAAAAATGTTATTCAAATAGAACAAAAACTTGCTGTCTTTTCTGTGTTGTATTACTTTATTTAATAAGCCAATTGATTTTAATACACTCCAAATTGTCAGTGACTCTGTCAGGCCACAGTTAACATTTATTTAGAGTTCGTACACATATCTCACTGAAAGCTGCACAGCTCATTGCCTGAGAGAATCAAATCTCCAGGAGATGAGCACAAATGTAGAAAACTTTAAAAAAAGCAGCAAAAAAGCAAAATGTGTTTCAAGTTTGGAAATTTAGGAAAAGGATTTCTTTTTAAATCAGTAAGTGTTGTTGAAGTGTCAGTCGGTGACAAAATTTAGAGCATACCTTGCTCCTGAGCACGTGACTATTCACAGTGAAGACAACATCCTTTGGCTTAAGTGCTCTGAACTCACGCTTTGCTGCTTACTTTGACTGGGGCTTATATTATCCCATTTCAATTTTGTTGAAATTTCAATGATCAAGCAGAGTCCTACAGCTACCTTCTGAACTGTGTTATTTGAAAACATAACAATACTGCTGAAGTAGGCAAGAAATATGGGAGAGGGAGCTAAGTGTTTATTCCATGGATGGTTATGAATTGCAACATTTAGAAGAATTAATAGTGCATCCACATAATACTAATGTGATCTATGCTGCGGTAGTTCACCAGCGACTACAAGATGTATTTGGTCTGCAAAATTCCTTATTGACCTTTTGTACCTGTTGGGTGACTGACTCGGAGCTGCAGGAGAGCAGGGAGATGGTGGCCCAGATCGGAAATTCTCATGATAGCCTGCCCTAAAATACAGAAGAGAAAATGCATTACTACAGCTGAAGAACAATTAAAACCAGAGGTTTTGTATTGAGAAATTCCAGCTGATGGATTTCAGGATTCTCAGCTCTAAAGATTTTACCTAAGGAAAACAAGGGATAAATTTGCTGTCCACTGCCATTTTGATACAATGAAAAATAGCACATTTTTTGGTTCTGACTCGTGGTCTGCTTCCTATTGCTCAATCAGATAACTCACAAGGTAATCATCCATGTGCAGACTCCTACCCACCTATCAACCCAAGGCAGATCACACTGTGACGAAGGAGGGTTAAGCCAAGGTACACCACCCTGAACTCTCTGTTCCCCAGGGGATGTGCGCAGAAGCACACTGGTAGAGCAGATGTGGGGTTGTTGATGGCGGGTCTGTGACCTTTACTGAGTAAAAAGGCATCTACTAACACTGGAAAGTGGTTTATTCTTATTTGTGTCCATTCTCCCCTGCAAGAATTTGGTGAGAAAAAACATGGATGTTTTTTGTTATCAGAAATATAGGATCGATTCAACCTCTCACTGCTTAAAGCTGTTTACAGATTAAGTAACAATTTTCTCAAACACACATGAGCAGTTTGTTATGAGGAATAGGTAATCAAACCTCAGTCTACATTAGTTTTGACTGGATACAAGCTTCAGAGAGGTAACACATATCTTGCAGGAGACTGTGTTCATATATATGCTAATGAAAACAGATGTTCCCTTCTCATTACAGAGGTACACTTTTTGCAAATATTAGGTAAACATATCCCTTGTTTACTGAAAGAACTGGAGTTACTTTTCAGTAATGCTCACTCAAAAACACAAGGCAAAGCATCAGAGAAGAAAAAACCTCACCAAAATTATAACAGAAAGAAAATACTAATCTCTATGTATCTTCTTTTAAAAGCTATAATCCTTAAAGAACTAGAAAGTAGCAATCAATGTGTGTTTGGAAGCTGGGGAATGAAGCTCTCCGATACCAACTTCAAAGAGGCAGACTCCTCCTGACATTCCCACCTTGATATTTAGCCACTTACTAGCTATAAATATTTGTCTTAGGGACTTAAAATAAATGAAGCACATGAACACCTACACAGATGAGTGTTTAAAGACCTAAGGAGAAAGAAGACAGAGAGTGGCAAGGAGGAGGTGTCCTCCCTTGTGAAACTAGTTACCAGGGTACCCATAATGGGAAATGAAGTGGATAAACATTAGCAATTCTGGTGGAAAAGCCAGGAATCAAAGGTGTCTGCACACTGCAGGACCACCTGTGAAACTTAACCAATAAAGAATGCTGAATAGGAATATAAGGGAGAACAGAGCGAGCAGGACTTCTCAGTCTCTGCAATAATCTTTATTTTACGTTCTCACCTCCTCGTTTCTCCAGCGGAGCTCGGTTGTTGTCCTGCATTCTGGCCCAGGAATGGTCTCTGCTGAATGTCCTCTGCGCGATGCGGTGACTGCTTTGTCAGCAACTGCTGATTCCAGGAGACGTCTACAATGGGAAGTGGGGAAATCTCAGTACTTGTGATAAAATGCTTTTGTCAATACTTATAGACCAGCATAGCTTGTGGGCACACTATAAAGGAGACATGAGATGTACTGTTACTTAAAAATAAGTTCTCAGAAACTCCACATAAAGTCAGAGACAGGCTCTGCTACACCAGAAGACCTCCGTGGGACAAAGTGCCCTTGCATTACCTTCCTATACACATGACCTACCCCACTGCTTAATCTCAGTTTCTGAAGAGGGAAAGGGAGAGGTCAAACAGTTGTCCACAAATAGCACTTGGGAAAATAAAGAATTTCCATCCCAAGAAAGGAAGGACCAGAGAAACAGAAACTTCCCGTGGTCTCAATATCAAGAGTTAAGAGGAGGGTGGTGTAGTCACTGCTCTCCACAAGCCTACTGATACACAGATTTCTTCCCTTGTAATCTCCTTATGTGTCGCAGATGGTTGCACAAGGCTCAGTGACAGTATCAGCCTCCCAGCAATATGCAATGATCTGTGATGCCCAGGCAGCCAGCCGTCCCATCTTGGAGACAGAGCACACTACCTGGATACTTCCAGATTAATTTTGTGGCTCCCAGGTTGGGGAGGACCTTACCCTGTTGTGCACCAACCAGCTGGTGTAGAAGAGAAGAAAAACTTCATTGGGGCCTAGGAAAGGCCTGTTACCTGGTTTTGATATCAAGACTAAAAAAAAAAAATCCTAGTCCTGACTATTACTGGATTTAAGGAGAGAGCAAAGATGTGATGTGTTAAGGGGCAAGAAAGAAGCTGTCAGAGTATTTGTAGGGGATCAGTTGTCGAAGAGAACCTAGAAAAAAGCCTGATTAGCAGAAGTTGTTAAAAATTGTCAAATCTTTGAACTTTGTTTAATCACTATCATAAATCCATGGGGATGGATTGCTGGGCAATATCTTCTGTTTTCTTTATTTGAGAAATCTGTGTCAAAGCACTAAGAATACAACAAAATTGTGGCCAGGGAAAGCAAACATGCTAAGTTTAACAAATTGAATTTGCATTTGGAGCAAGTAATAACACTAAAACCTTTTCTATACATAGATGTTTCATTTTTTAGAATTATCAATTTTGATGCTAGACTGAAAAATCTAAAACTCAATTTCAAAATCTTTAGTCCTACTTATTTATTCTCCACCATTCACTTGCATCAGATAATGATGCTAAATTAGTGAATTTGCCTTTTCTTTAGGGCGACCCTGTTGACAGCGATGCTTTGAGGAAATTCCTTCATTCAAAAAAACCATCAATATTTATGAGCGCTTAAAAAAATCTGTTAATTTTAAATGTTATCAGACATTTCTAATAACAAAATTGATACAGGTGTCACTTTAGAATTGGCTTGAAATTCTTACACATTAGAGGTAGTGATTTTTACTGAACTGAAATGGACATAAAGAATCTAATTAGCTATCAAAACATGAAAGAAGTGTTGAAAATATGTTCTCTATATCAAGATAAATCCTATATGTATGTAAGATTATGTAAAAGATGGAAGATAACTGAGTTTAATTACTACTGCAAACATGCAGGCCTATAAATGAGATTCCTACCTGCAGCTGAAACATTCTTCTCTGACGAAATGAAGATTTTAAATTTCACCTTAACACATTTATCTTTGCTAACAGAAAATAACTTTTGAATCTGAGACGTTCAAATTTTGAAGATATATGTGGACTGTTAATTTCCAAAATTCTTTGACTTAGATTTTGAGACACTGTATATACCTGTGAGATTTCTATTTGGAAAAGAATACATGCGTATGAAGAGTCTGGACTCTCACCCTGAGTCAATGGCAGATTCAGCCTGGCAGGCGAGCTGCGCTCCAGCACCGGCACCTGGTGGTCCTGTTCACCTCCTTTCAAGATACTCGTCTCTGGGTGTCCTGAGAGCACTTTCTTTCCACTGCCAATAAAAATAAGCCACATATTGTATAAATAATGCTGGGAAAAATGCCACCTAGAACATAACGGCAAAATCAGACTTTTGAATATCAGTCTCTTTTTTGCAACAAGATTTTTGTTATTGTGTCAGCAATGACAAAACCATGAGGATAAACTGTCATGAGTTAACATGTCTCCAAACATGCCAAGTCTTCCTACTTCCCTCACACACTGCCACTCTTACATGCACTAAAGATCATTCTGGATTTGTGGAAAATGGCTTCTTTGCCAGAGAAACACCTTTTCTCAGTGTTCTCTATCCAGTGTTCAGCATCACCAGATGCTTCTGGTGTTTGTGAAAGCTGTTACAAGCAGTTGGGCAAAGACCAGGACTTTGAACACCATCTGGCGAGTTTGGGTACAGCACTTCCAAGAGAGCCAGGCAATCTCACACAGAATCTGAGTGAAAATAGCTACTGCTCCTTTATTCCTCAAAATGGCTTGTGAACTTGTACACAAGACACGGTGCAGTGCCACACAGATGATGTCCGAGCTGTCTAAGCTCTGATCTCGTTGATGTGACAGCCTTTCAGCAAAGCCACATTCTGAAAAGGCAAGCCTTCTGATATGCAAAACTAGCGCTGCGCAGTGTCATATATGTGTAAGCCTGTGGCAAGTGAATATTGATTGGGATATATTATACCTATCACCAGGCCACCAGATGCTGATGCTCCAGCATTAATCACGGGCAGATGTGACACAAAACTCCACAGGGCTAAGAAATGCTTAGGCTTGATCCATACCTCCTCTTTTCTTGACAGAGTTCATTTTCCTTGCTTTTCGGAGATGGTATGCTGTCCTGCTCCCAGAGCAGCTTTTTCTGCCTTGTACCTTCTTTTTGTTTGTCTTCCTCTGGAGAGCTGTTTGAATCAGTTGTGTTCTAGAAGACAGCAGGGGAGGGAACAAACAGCTTCCCTTGAATTCGGCATCAGCACACACATGAAAAAAGCACAAGCTGTCCCCCGATATATCGTGTTGACACACCTTATTATCATAAAAAGCATCTCACATTATACAGTGGAATCATTTGACCTTGGTAAGGCTAAGTTTGAATTTAAAAAGAACTTCAGCTAAAATAACTAACTAATTGTATTAAATTGAGCATGAAACAAAAAAGTCCAGGACCGACGAATTATGAGATGGTGCTCAGGATAACAAAATGAAACTTGCCACTACATATTTTCAGCAGAAATCGTTGAATGACTTTGAGAGTCTAGACGGTTTCCCGTTGGACTTGGGAGGACTTTGTGAGGGATCTCAGCTTCTTGACTCTGCCAGGATGCAGAGCATTACTCACATGCTCTGGGCATTCTCAAATGGCAACACCAGTACTACTTCCAAAATGGTACTGGAGTGGGTCATACCTGACTGATGGAGCTTCAGTAAGCCATGGCACAAGTTCCTTCACTTCTGGGTGCAGGCACTGCCCTGAACGTGGCATAAGCAACTCCATCCAGCAAGTTACTGCTACACAGCCGTGTGGGAAAAGGGCCATGGCTAACACCCCTGCACAGGGATGGGTGATAAAAATGGGCAGGAACGGCAAGAGGAGAATCAGACGATACAGTACTCCTAATCCTGGAGTTGAATGGAAAAAGGCAGATGTCATCTTTGATATGGGTGCCTTAGGCAGGAGAAAATTAAGTCTGGGAATCCCACATTTATTCTACTGATCTCACCTGGGGTGTCATTCTCTGATTGCTGGCAAACACTTATTTAATTAGATGCTAGATGCATCGAGTTAAACATTTTGTGCCACATAAGACAAAAGAAAGTAGAGAGTGAACATTCCTTCGTTCATTTTTCTGCTTTCTAGGAGGGATGGTGGGAGAGAAAAGGAGGAAAAGTGGGGATGCAGGATTCAGTCTCATCTCAGATATGCTTACAGTATGGATTCAGGGAAATCACTTCAGATTTTGTTGGCTTTGAGAAGGTAGTTAAAACAAATAGAAACAGGTGACTGGTTTTTTATAGCACCAGCTAAAGAAGAGAAGCAGCTGCAAAGAGAGAAGTATCACCTTCTGCTCTTGCCCAAAACAGGATGGTACCAGTTTGCTTGGGAGTATGGCTCTTCAGTTGTAAAAATATACAAGCTACAGCACTCTGAGGTATCACCAGCTATGGAAAGGATCCAGGGAATACTCTTACTCTTACTGTTCCTAGACTTTGCTGGCTTTAGTGAAGAATGAAACTTCGCACTGAAGATAGCTTAGTCTTCATGGATTTACTAACCCATGAGAAACTCACCGCTGTCTTGTTTCCTTCAGTCGTAGAGGAAGAGGAGGAGAGGAGCTCAGCAGAGTTTGAAGAAACAATGAATGGAACTACAGTATCCTCAATTATCTTACGTTCCTTAAAAAAAAAAAAAGAGGATCAGGAGACAGCAGGGGTTAAAAATACAGACTGTCAACTATGAACTTAAAAAATAGAATCATAAAGTTTGGCTACATGCTCACATTTAGATGGCTAGGTAAGGACCTGTGGTACCAAGAATAATGGTAATATCTCAATTTTTAATTTGCTTCAAGGTTTTGCACTTCCTTTCCTTTTACCATTACCATCTTTGAGATGGGATGTCCAAAACTGGAAAGAATATTCCACTTGGGATGGCAGCACTGTTTCTCACAACACCAATCTACTAAATTTCATATAAAACCATGGTACCTGAGAAACTTCTGAAAGTTGAAAAAAAATATTTCTTGTTCAGATGACAAGTATGGCCCTCAAGCACAGATGATAAGACATCAATTTGCATAATGTACAACTAGTCAAACTGAAAACAAGAATGTTTTCCAATTAATTTCCTGCAATAATGACCCACATAGAACAGAAAAAACCCACTATCTTCTATACTGTCAGTATTCTACAACTGCAAGCTTTGAACATTTCCTGTGATTTTTTTCTTTTTTTTAAACAAGGCCAGTTTACAAAACATCTACATGATCAAGCCCAAGGCAGACATCAATTTCATCTGGAGTTCCACCAAGTCTAGACACCAAGTATACGCCAAAACGCACAAGGCTCTGCCTCCGGAGGGAAGTCTGAGCGTGCCCAGACACAACCATACTGACTCACTCTGACTTACACAGCAATTAGACACCTCCGCCTATACGGAGTTTCCGAGGATACCTGTCTAAATATTTAAATATTTTTCCTCAGTGCTCATGGTAGTGTTTAAGAGAAACAACCCTCCTGAGAATTCAGCCTTGAGAAGGCTTTTAATTAATTAATTCAGGTATGGGATTTTTTTAGTTACGTAAATGGGTGCATTTAAATACAAAGAAAAAGTCAATAAACAACCTCCTTCCTTGAGCTTTATACCTCCTCGTAGTATCTACGCTCCTCCTCTTCAACTTCTCTCTGGGCCTTTTCCCATTCCTCTTTCAGCTTGTCCTGCTCCTTCTGATACTTCTCCTGTAAGAGGATACAAATACAGGTAAATTCAGAACATTCTGTATTAGGAGTAAATCCTGAGGTATCTCCACAGTGAAAATAAATCTGCTAAGAGTGGTTTAATCAGAAAAAGGATGAAATAGGAAGATAACCATTTGAAACATCCACGGGTGTCAAAAGAAGCTTCTCCTTCTCCTCTCCCCACTTGTTTCTAGCACTTAGATTTACCACCTTCAAACCACAAGGAACTTTTAACATACTAGAAAAAGGTTAATTTGTTAGAAGTTTTAAAATCTTTGGTCAGAAATTAAATCTGTGCTCAACAATTTCAATAATTCCTTGTTTATTATACAGCATAAAGAGTTCTAAAAAGCTATCACACACACCCCAAAACACTTAGGCATGGATTTTATATTAAAAACTTCAGCAAAGGAGCATATAAACAAGCAGGTTTTGAAGATACTGGGACTAATTTAAGAGAGATGCCAGTACAATTTAATGAATGATGAATACCTGTGCAAGTTTGAAAGACAAATGGATAGCGTGTAAAGGTTTGAAGAGGGCAAGCTTATAATTAGCTAAGTAGCTTATTTTCTTCCTTGATGAAATTATTTCTTGAGAATTGTTTTCACACAGTTTTGCATGAAAAATTATCTTAAAGAGATTGTTTGACAGAACTGGTTTGACAGAACAGTGACTTCCATATCCTTTTTACACCAGTTCCAACTTCTGTTCAATTTAGAAAGCACAGCTGCCTACTCCAGAAGAGATGCATTCACTATTGAGAGAACACTCACATATGCCAGAAAAATTACAATGAGAATTTTACACCATTTAAAGAGGAAACAACCATATTAGCTAAAAAGAAATAATCTCAAGAAAGCAGTAGAGTCACAAGTCATTCTTAAAAGATGAAAATACTCCATTTTATTATTCTCCATCCTTTGACAGTTGTTTGCTCTTCTGTTACGCGGAGGAAAGATTTGATATTTTTGGGACCAAACCTAATTACACTTTCAAAAGACACTACTGACCGACGGGGAAATTCAAGTTCTCAGGGCCACTGCGAGAAAACAAACCCAGACTTTTACAGCTTACTCTACCACTAGGAAAAGCAGTGGTTGTTTTGAGGGCGTTTCCTCCCATCACAAAAATACCCCAAACCCTTTGTGTCCAAATTAAGCTTGATGTTTTCCAAGAATCACCTGTGAACAAAGTAGAAGTCTACAAAAACCTATTGAAACCATCATTTTAAAGAAGAGTTGCATAGGCATCAGTCAGCAAATTGTCAGTCTTGAGAAAGAGGCTCCAAGTAATTAAGAGTCTTGCAGTCTATATTCAACATTTTAAATACAGCTGAGGATCAACAGTGGGTTTAACTCCGTCCTTTTGGTCTTTCCATGGAGTAGGGAAGGAAAATATGAGTGCCCAAACCACAGAGAACGTGTGTATGCTCATTTTATCGCTCATCTGCCACAGAATTTGCTTAAGCATCCACAGATGATGTGGAAAACATGACATGAAATGCCCAACTTTTGTCCAAATGGACAATTCAACAGCTGAACCACATGGCGGAAGACATGCAGTTTCTTCCCTACCTGAAGCAAGCGTTCTTGCTCATGCTGCCACCTTTCCTGGCGCTTTCGCTCTTCTTCTGGATCCCAGGACCAGAAATTGAAACGCTTGTGTGAAGGAAAACCAAGCTGTTAGACTTTGACTCTATACTTCACAAGGCTACCAGAGAAAGCTGTGCTTCGCCTGGCCTACCCCTGGTGATGATGTTAAAAGGGGAAACTGAGAACTGGATAATGCTTCTCTCAGTTAGCAGACAACATTCTTAGCTTCATTGACACTTGGGATTGCCCACAGGTATCCAAATGACAAGATAATCATTTGGTTTGCAAAGAAAGGCTTGGGAAACTTCAACTGGAGAGGAAAAAAAAAAGGAAAAAGATCTGAAAGAAAGCTCTAAGCAGAACTGAACAAAGATACCCGCAGGTGCTCAAATTTAAAGAAAATATCTATTTTCCTTCTCTATAATCTTCTGCACAACATGCAAAGCAATTTGTGATTGTAAAAAAATATTCTCTCATTTCATATGGCTGCCAGCACAACAACCTATAGCCTTGTTTTAAATTTTTATCCATAATGAAATAAAGTCTCAGGCTTCACTAAGGATCACATTACATGATACTTTTACATGTTTAAAATCCTTATAATCAAGGGCAACTTTAGACACTTGATGTCATATTCCTTTCCAGTAAGAGTTGTTTGAATCTGATAGGAAGAGATTACATCTATTTTTATGTGACAAATAGAATATGAAATACTGTGCATTTCAGAGTAGCATTTGTGGGTTGGTTTTGTTTTTTTTTTCATTGAAGAGGCAGTAGAATTGTGGTCTCCTTTAATCTCTATGCATTTAAAAGAGAATGGATAGTTTAGAGTTACATATTGTTTCAAGATTGCAAAGCTTTAGTGGCTCCAGCAATCCAGTACTGTATAGCTACCGTTCCCTTCAGATAAGAGGAGAATGCATAAATTCCAGATTCAGACAATGTCTTGAATTGGGTTGTATTTTTTCTCTCCTATTTCCATGGGAAAAAAAAATCTCATTCTGATTTGGGGATGTTACAAGACAGTTCGCACGAAAAATTCACTATTGCTAAATACACATCTTGAAACCAAACAACGATGTAAAAAAGGTACTCACATTTGATTTGTCACCACTATCGGAATCAGCTATTAAAAAAAAAACAAAACAGAAAAAGGAAAAATTAAATTTAACACAGCAAAATGTGCTTAGCCTGCAGTTAAAGCTACAGTGTATCTGTATAAAAGAGCTTCATGTTAGTTTCCTATTTGCTCCCACAACCAAATGCAAGGACTAATCGCAAGCAAGTAAACCAGAAAAACAGATTACACCCATCACCAACAAAACTACTTTTTATCTGGGTATAAAGGAGCACAATATTAACTAACATCAGGTTCTACTCTACCACTAGCTAATGCTATCTACTTCTGGCCACAGACACTAGCAGTGTTTGAACACTGAGCGTTACCTACTTTGATCTACTTTTTCCTTCGTGATTCTGTGCAAGGAAGGAAAAAGCACAGCAAAGCTAACAGGATGGGACTACGCTATTCAAGAGCCACAGTTACGAAGAGAACCATTGCCATTTTCTATCCAAATATCTTTGAAAATTACGCTGATTTAAAGAAATTAAGGAAAAGGTATTTATAGGCAAGTGATTTCATTTGGGTGCCTGAAGCCAGAGCATCACAACAACATGCAACCCAACAGCTCTTTGTCAACTGTGCAGCAGGCATAGACACTTTCTACGAGAGCGAGAGGTAGAACAAGTCCCCGTGATCATCAGCTTTCACCCGAGCCCCACGTCCGAAGACACCTAAGACTGGAGGCAGCAGAAGGGCTGGAGCTGGTCTTAGCGCCGCATTTACCTGACTGCGAGAAAAACTGTGAGCGCCGCCAGTTGTTGCGAACCCTAAGCGGGACCATGGCCCCGCGGGGAGGCTCTGCAGGCAACGGCACGGAGACAAAACAAGAAACACAGCGCGGTCAAAAGGTGATGACGGACCCTCAGACCCGAGCCGCTTCGGCCACGAGGGGGATTTTGACTACAGCTGCTTTGGCCCATCACAGCTAGTTTACGAGAGACCTGCAGATCACCCAGACTGCCCGTGTTTAAATGCTAATTTTGTAGCATGGCACCTAACCTTACAGGAGAGCTCTAGCTCACTAATGCTAGTCAAGGACAGCCACCCCTTCAAGTCTTTGCATGGTGTTTGCATTCATTCCTATTGCAGATATGGGGTTTAAAGGATTTTGTGATCCTTTTAGCACTGTATGTGCTGTGAACACTAGAGAGCAGCCAAGTGTTTCAGCATCACTCGGAAAATAGGCGAGACACCTACAAAATGTTACTTGATGTTTGGATTGATTTGTGCCTAACAAAAAATTATATTGTTCTCAAAGCCTGTTTGGAAAGCGCCTCCCCACTTAAAACAAGTGAGACTTCCATTCCTTTTCAGACAATTCTGTTTTCCACAGTGGATCACCTTCAGTAGTCTCAATCTTGAAAACACCAGCATAATCAGTATATTACCTATACATAAACTAACAACTTAATAAATTATCAGGGGAAGAACTTCAGATGATTTTTCTCTCTCTCTCTCTTTCACAATACCTACATATATGCATCTCTAAAATCAATACAAAATCAAACTACTAAACATTACCACTCTCGAGCAAAATTCTGTCATGAAGGCAAAAAAAAAAGTTCTGCTTTGCAAGAACTCTTGATGGGCACAGGTCAAATTCAGGGATGTGGCCATATATGTGTATTGCTCATCTGTGAAAAGGAGGTCCACGTGAGCAGCTGAGTGCAGAATTTATCTCCAGAAGTTTTTATTGTGAGATAAAACCAATTGCTAAGCCATTTTCATTTGTAAGCAGCAGTACTAATAAAATATAACACTCATTGACATAATACAGCTTTTATTGCTAGGCCAGGTGAGTGCAAGATAGGGCTCTCCCTGCCTCCCTCTGCCGTGCCACAATTCTGCTGTTCTGTTTAAGGGGGACAGCTAGAAGAGTCCTTAGCATCACAGAAGCTGCACTATCAGTATCAGTCAGATGCAACTAGAAAATAACATTTTAGCTCCAAAACCCTCCAGGTCATTGATTAGGCACTTCTCCCTAAACACCACATGCACATACTCAGTTACTGTCCAGCTGAGTTCTGCAAATGCTTTTTGCTCACCTTGTAGACCAGAATTCTGCAGAGTAACTTGGCTGGTCTCGGGTAGTTTCTTTAAAAATGGCAATACTACACTTCCCTCTTGTTCCAGGGCTTTTGGTTTCACCACCTGTTCGGACATTTGGGAGCAGAAAACAGCATTCAGAAATCAGCATGTACAATCAAAGGTTAACTTAAACCCTTTCTACTTATTTCCTGTATCAACATTATCAAAGATGAAGCCTCTATCTCCAGAATTATAGCAGGGAGTTGCAGCACTGAAGTCCTGGAAATAACTGGTAGCTGTTTGTTGCTGACATTCACACTGCCCTGCACACCAAAGCCGATACTAATCCAGGACCAACATCTAACTTACCTGACAGAGCAGTATGGTCATGGCCATTTGTTACCTGTGTCACCACTTGCACTTGTTCAGCACTTCAGGAGGACTAAGAGGGTAAGCCCCACTGTCTACACCTTCTGGATACTTCTGCCCTCCCAACGTGTGGTGGGACTGTGGTTTGCAGGTTAAGTTCTCATTTCTGCTCCAGCCAGTTTACAGGTTCAAATGCTACAAGCAGACTCTGGGGAGTTCCTTTGGAGGGAGAACTCTCTGATGACTACAGGATTTGGCACAGAAACCATTCTCCAGGGTCGTTCCCTGGCAGACTGTTTTGAATGAACTCTTGAAGTGATAGTACACAAAGAAAAATACCAAGTTGCACAATAAACATGTCAGTGTGAGATCTTTCTTCTTTTTTGGTTTTGTTTTCCAGTCCCTCTCTTTCTTGCCCATACATACCTCTGGTGTAGCAGGGAGCTCTGCTTCCTTCTGCTGCTCTGTTTCAGGTTTTTTCACATCTTTCTCACTTGAAGCAGCTTGCTCTGAAGAGACAGGACTGGGAAGAAATTCTAATCTCTTCACAACAGGACTAGCACAAGCTGCAGTTGACTTGAATTGCTTTTGATCTGAACCTAATCCACACACATAAGAGATAATGTTACAAGGTTAAGATATTTTATGAAATAAAATGTAGATCTATTTCATACAATCCAATTTCTTACTGGATATACTGTGAGCCCATTTACTGGATGTTTTGAAAAACCCAGGCAAAATTAATCTCTCTGAGAAGACAAGGCTTTAACAGTGAAATTCACCTGACAAAATGTAGCTGCTTACACTTGACTTGGGTATCATGGGGCACCCTTCATGGTCAACAGAGAGGCAGCTATTGAAGAAGAGTCAGCCAAATTATTTCAGACACTCCTCTTCAGCTGAGATGAGCTGTGACCTACAACATGCTTATTGAGGTATAGATCTCTTTACTGAAGTCATGTGATGAATCCTATCCTAAGATACCTGCTACCCAGACAAGTAGCTACTCCACAGTTAACATGGTCTTGTTGTCAGCACTGAAGGATATTTCAGCTTGCCTGTTTCCACTAAACCACATCAGTCAAGCATCAGAAAGCAAACAAATTGAGCTAACAGGAAGCCTTGGACTGGAATAACCTACTTGTCATTCAGTTCTTAAAAAAACCCCAACAAGTTGATGCTGGTATACGGGAGAAGGGACCAGGACCACATGGGCCTACAGCTGAGGACTGTGACAGCTAAACTACTGCCAGCTGGTACCACCACTGGAAGCAGAGCGATTGCCAGCATCCCAGGCAGTGCATAAGCACCCAGACATCTCTCTAACCTCCTAAAGCAGAATCTCAGCTTCAGATCCTGTCCCCTCTCCAACCACAGCAGCAGTGGCAGCTTCCTCTTTGACAGGCTAGGAGAGTGAGCTAAGAGATGCACCCCAAGGCTCCACTAAGAACCTGCACACAAGCAGAGACAAGAGCTGCTCCTGCTGCCAGGCAGATGCACACCACTTTGGAGCAGTTCCCACACCGTTAGTGGCATAGGGGTCACAGCATGGAAGTATCTGGCTTGTACTGAACAGCACAGGAGGTTGCTTATTCTTCAAGAAGGTCACACAGTTTGGACCACATCTATCCCTCCAAAGCAGACATAATGAGAAGCCATGTTCCTTTACCATTTCAATTTTTGCAATACTCTCCCAGTTTTCCTTGCCAGCCAATATTAAACTTTTCTATCAATACTTAACGTTTAGCATTTCTCATAGGTGTGGAGGCTGACACAAGGTGGCTTTGTGATTTGTAGACAAATATCACCAGCTCATCACTGCTGACTCTTGAGAGAAGAATTTGGTTGGTTCACCACAAGACTGCAGCTTCTACATTACCTGCCAGGTGCAATTCAAGATTGTTAACCTCTGTGCTTTGGCATCTGTGAACCAAAGTAATTATGTCAGCTAATGAGCCCTTGCTAACAGCCCACGTACTTCAGAATCTTGCAGCACAACAAGAAAAAGCTGGATATGCTTCTAATCTTGGGGGAATGGTACCCCATTGAAGCTCAATAGTTTAAGTCACATTTATCCTCAACAAATAGGAGCATTATGCTTATATACCAATTACAGCCAGAGATCTCATTTAAATACCTACTTCAAATAGTACTTTTTACTTACCCATACCAAGCTGAACTTTGACTGACTCATTTTAAAAAGTGAAAAAAAAAAGACCATTGACTTAGTATGATAGAGGCAGTAGATAAAATGCTGTAGATAAAATTTCTGTTTCAGAAACACCCTTTTGAGGAAAATAGCTTCAAATTTTATCAGCAAATTCCTTTCCCCAGATTAGGAATCAAGCATAAAGGGTTTGAAGCAGAAAATCAGGACCGTGCACAATACTGTTCATTTAAAGCCCCTATGAGGACTGAAGTGCCCCTTCGTATTCTCCTTCCCCATTTCTTAATGTCTGGGGGGAGGGGGGAAGTGCATAGAAGCTATTACTGACTGATAGTTTCCGCCCTGATTGCCTTCTGGTTACAGCACGCTGTGGCACCAGCTTTTCACTTGCACAGACGGCAAAGCAGACAACTCGCATCCCGAGCAACATGTAGTCAGGTGTGTCATTTCAACCACAGAATGACAGAACGGCACAGGTTGGAAGGAACCTCGAAAGATCACCTGGTCCCACCTTTCGTGGGAAAGGGAGCCTAGAGGAGATTGTCTAGCACCCCTCCAGCCATGGGAACTCTACCACGTCCCTTGGGAGGTTGTTGCAGTGAATGATCGTTCTTACTGTAAAAAATGTCTTTATTATGTTGAGATTTCTGACATCTTCTGCATTTTCTAATAAACCCTCTTGGTGCCGCTGCAGATGCAGCTATCGGACTCCTGCTGCAGGGTGGGCCTAAACCCCAGCCCAGTCGGTGGGCAAGGGCAGGGGCGAGGGCAGCAGCCACAACCCACCTGGGGACGGGCACGCTGGGCTCGTAGGTCCCGCACTTCCCGGGCTGGCCTCGACCTGCTGGCTGGCAGCTGGATCTGCTTCCACCGGGGAGGCCTGCAGAGAATAATGCAGTAGAAACACAGTGAGTAGAGTGGGAATAAAAGTATGTGTTAATTCCTCAAGGCAGTACTTGCTGCTTCTTTGTAACGTGTTTGAACCAGACTGGTTTAGAGCTCAGCAGGGAGCTGGGGAGTACATTTCAGAGCAGTATGTGGTGCTTGGGTGTTGAATCACTGGGCTTTAATCTCCTTTTCAAACCCTTCATCAGCAACCATCATGTGGTTGGTTTGGAAGGGCTCCTACAAGCTTTTAAAATTGTAGGATATCTTGGATTGTGTTAGCCGGAGATAAGCATACGTTTCACCCTTAGTTTCCTCTTCCAGAATAACACAAAAACGTATGCATTAGTGAATACATAGCACATACTAGGGTTTGAAAAGTGGCAAAGTAATTAAATACTTCCTTTATTTCACGGTTGTCTAAACAATCTGTTATCTGAAGGGAAAAGCCAGAGTCAGTATTAAAGGTAATGAAATACTTGAAACTCTATTTAGAGAGGACTGAAAAAATATGGTGAGAGCATATCGAGCCAATAATCCAAATCCCTTTGAAAAGCCAGCTTCCTGACCCAGGACAAGGCTGTTGCAGAGCTAAAACCACACTGTCAAAACAAGGGTAGCGCTTCAGCTGATCTATTTAGCAGCTTCCACCATACATCCGCTTTCCCAGTAGGCAAATCTGCAGCAAACTGATCAGCCACTGCACAGGGCTTCTAATGCATGAAAGATCTAGAAAATGGCACATTCAACAGAGGAAAATAAAAAAAAGCAGACTGCTTTTCGAGATAAAAAGCAACATATTTCAGAAATAGTCTATTGTAGACTCGCTTTCCTGTCCTCCTCCCATCCCTCCATCTTATTAACAGCTGCAAGGGAGGAGGAAATCTGATGAAATTTCCTCTTTTCTGGGGCAGGATTCAGACCTCCACCTTCTGCACGGATCCTGTTTCCCATCCCTGCAGATTCACATGAACCCACGGCCCCTCGCCCATCCATGCCCCCTGAAGAGCAAACCTGGGCTCTCACAGCTCGGTCATCGAGGATGTCTGCTGGCAGTGCCAAGAAGACACCAATGCCTGTGGACACCGGCTCCAGAGAACTTTGTTGTCAGCAGTGCTCGGGAATCCCTGCCTCTCTTCTCCTCTCTGGAGGGAGGCATGCTCCGGAAGAGGGGCAGAGAATGTGTCTGGGAAGATGCCCTGCGAGGAAATGGTGGGGACTGGTGTGGGGCCGCGGCCAGGGGCAGCGACCTGGGCAAGCCCAGTAGGCAGTGAGCAGTGCCAGGAACAACAGAAGGAGCCCCTGGCTGCCAAGGGCTGTGCTGTCACCTCGCAGCAGGACAGGCGCCAGATCACAGCCATGAGCCTCAAAAAGTGGCAGCGTGTCTCCTCTGGCACCTGCTGGGGCTGTCTGCCCGCTGTCCTCCCCACTGCCTGGTGCTTTCCACTGCACCCTCACCTTTGCCCACCCAAATCCTCCGCCCCAAGCAAGGCATGGGGATACATAGAATCACAGAATCATTTTGGTTGGAAAAGACCCTTATGAATCATCGAGTCCAACCCTTAACCTAACACTGCCAAGTCCACTGTCCCTAAGCACCACGTCTACACGTCTTTTAAATACCTCCAGGGATGGTGCCTCAACCACTTCCCTGGGCAGCCTGTTCCAACGATTGAAAACCCTTTCAGTGAAAAAATTTTTCCTAATATCCAATCTAAACCTCCCCTGCCACAACTTGAGGCCATTTCCTCTCCTCCTATCACTTGTTACTTGGGAGAAGATACCGACCCCCACCTGGCTACAACCTCCTTTCAGGTAGTTGTAGAGAGCGATAAGGTCTCCCCTCAGCCTCCTTTCCTCCAGCCTGAACAACCCCAGTTCCCTCAGCTGCTCCTCACAGGACTTGTTCTCTAGATCCTCACCAGCTTCGTTGCTCTTCTTTGGACATGTCCCCATCCCGCCTAAGAGTGGTTCTCAAAATGGATGAGGCAGAGGGAAATACACACTCCAAAAAGACAGCATGGCAAGTTTGAGGACCTCCTCTCCACCATGTCCACCTGTGACTGTGCCTATACCAAGAGCAAACAAGGCATGGAGCTCCCCCTCCATGTTCCAAGAAGGGATGGTCACTGGAGATGAGGTACACGCTAAAAAACAGGCCCCAGAGAAATGCTCCAAAAACTACAAGTCCTGTGCCCCAGAGATTTGCCCCTTGCCATTCTGTTGCTCTTTTCTCCCATATAACCTACCTTCCCCTTCCCCGGCCCATCTTGATGCCAGCCTAGGTTTCAGTGGGAGCTTTCTCACTGAAAGTCCCAACAGAAGAACACTGCAACTAAAGAAAATGTCTCCTTTAGCTTCAGTTCTGGCTCATGACACGACAGCAGCCAGGGGAGAAGCTACTGGAAACCCTTCCCAACCTTGCTCAGTGCAGAAATAAGTATTTCTTTTCTCCATGAGGACAACCAGGCAGCGAACAGGCTGCCTGGACAGGTTGTCCCATCTCCGTCCTCAGAGGTTTTCAAGACTCTGATGATCAAGCCCTTGGCAACCCGGTCTGATCTCATGCCTGATCCTGCTTTGAGCAGAAGACTCAGCTAGAGACCTACAACCTGAATTATTCTGTCATTCTACAACCTACAAACCTCCATTAAACCTAAACAAATGGCTATTATCAAGAGCTCAGGGTCTGCCCTAAACAAGATAGATTTTAACTGGAAAAACAAGAGGCACCTACCTCACAACTCTACCCACTGCTCCAAAGCATAAGCACTTCTGAAGGAATTGTTGCAAATTTCAATTATTAATGTTTGGGTTTGGGGGTTTTTTTGGTAAAGCAATGGAACTCACCCTCCACTCTCAAAAAGCAACTCTGCAAACTAAAAAATTTCAAAAAACCCCAAACAACGCAGCTTTAATTTCAACCTCAGAGGCTTTAAAGCTATAAACAATGATAAACTGGGGCCAATACAAAAAGTATTAAACAGCATGACATACACCAGGCAGCTGGAGGTAGGGAAAAAGCACAGCCACAGTGGCTGCTCAGAGGGTTTAAAAAGCTCAGTGAATACACAGACACGATGCACTTTTATCACCTCTGGATCTAGAGTTACATCAGGAACCTAAACGCAGTGCTGTGCCATGTAGCTATCCCGCACAAGTGCAATAACTAAATCTACCCATAACCTATATCCAGGAGGTTGAACCAGGCATAGACATAGATGTTATTTATGGAAATTCTTTCAAAGACGAGTAAAAAAAAAGAGTTACTACTTGCTTCAGGAAAATCGAATTTTGCATGCTGCGGAAGTTCTGTTCCTGCTCATGAGACTTGACTCTTCCTCCTCCCTCTGCTGAGCAATTAAATGCTAGTCACATACAGCTAAAAATATAAAGCTGATTAGTAAGTAACCTATAAAAAAATTAAGTCAACTTCACTGGGGAACTCTCTCATTCCCAGTATATCTAATTCAAATATAATACCAATATCCACAGGTATATGATACATTTGAGAAAATTCTTGTACTGATGCAGCCAATAAAATGTCTTTTCTATCACAGACTATCATCATTCACATTTCATAAATATTTTGCAAACACTGATGTTATCACTGAACATGAAGAAGGCATACAAGCATTTCATTGTACCTAAGAGGATAGTATTTTGACACGGACACTGAAAAAAGGAACAACCTGGTGAGTGACGTTTCTGAGGTGTTTCAGAGGAGCTCTCGCGCTTTGGGATGAAGGACACACACAGCCTCTCGGCACCACTGCACTGCAGCCACACGCGTTTGTGTGGGCAGAGGCGACATGCTGCAGGACCACCGTCTCTGCTGCAGGTGCCTATGAGGGAAGGTCACACAACACCTGCTAGTCCACCACCACAGGCAATGAAGCCTTCAAGGGAAGTAGGCAAAACCTCGCTGCATAGGGGCTGCGGTTATCTCTGCCCCCAGATCCAGGCTGGTGTGAAGACTCTTGTTAACTCCTGAGAACTGGAGAATGCTGTCTACTTGGACTGGTGTTTTATTACGTCATGCATCAAGCTACCCAGGAGCTAAAGTGGACTTCCCCACTTAGGATTTAGAAGCCTTAGTCCATGATGGAAAGTTAAATATTGTGATTGCATTTGCAGTTATGAGCACAACAGTAATAGAGGATAAAGCAACATCTCAGTTCTGCTTATCAAGGTGTCCATTTGACAAAGACACAAGCACGGCTGACTATACAGTGTTGTCAAACATCTATGAGGCATGAAAATAAATTAGTTCAGTTTGTGGCAGACAGGATTTTTATCCCATAAACTAGGATATCAGTCCAAGTATTTCTTTAATTAAGACCATACAAGCCAGAAATAGCCACATTGCCTATTGCTGAGGCAGAACCTTACATCCATAAAAAACCCTAAAAATACAGTAAGTAGGAACTCCTAAAACAATGAACAGCACAAGCACTACAAGAATTCAAACTCCGAAGGAAGTTACAGTACAACTTTACTAACCGTTACTGTAAATTGAAGACTCAGGTTAGATCTACAGTTTAAACCACTCAGGAAGGAGATTGGTTGCAGTATCAATAGCCACACGTAGAAAACGCCTGACACATCTTTCAAACTTCTGTGATTGAATTTGTACATGTATCATTGACTTTAAAATTTTCATACGATGATTTCCTCATCAAAGCTAGTGTTTTCTGTTGTTGTGAGTGTAACAGCAGCATGACCTTGGGCTGCCACAGCTAAGCGCCTTGCATGCTATGCCAGTAGAGTACTACAGCCAGAACACTGCTCTGACACGTTAAGTCATCTGCCTCATCTGGCAGCTATATAATGCTATACTCAGGCCAGCTATTAAAAACAAAGATCAGGGTGGATCAGTAATTGACAGAGAAGCCTTGAAAGTGTTCCAAGAAATAGTGTTAAGTATTCCTGCTAGTAATTTTTCTAGAGTTACTACTGCTCAATTGGTACGTAAAATAAGCTCCTGTCACTCATAGACACTGAAAAGTGCATGGGTGTCTGGAGGACAGGAGACATGGACACTAGATTTGTAACCAAATCCTGAGCAGAGCTCCCTTCTAGCTGCTTTGAAGCTTTGCTGCTCTCAATTCTCATCCTAAACCTTTTTTCCTTCAGGTAGTCCAGCCCTCCACGCATCTTCCCATGTGTGGTTCAAGGCAAAGCTGTCAATCTGGAACAGACGTACTTACTCTGCAAGTGTTTCTTGTAATGAATCAAGGAACAAAGACTTGTCCTACCAGATATGTACAAATCAGGATTTCAACCCTGCTCTCCTGTAGCTTGCCAACAATCGTCAACCACAAGAAAGCTTATACTTTAATCGCAGTTCAATCAGTGGATTTTTGAAGATGAAGGAGAGTGTTACTTGGATATAGAAAAAAAAGTTTATATTGTGCCAAGCAGGCAGTGAGTAGAAAAAGACAAGTTTAAGCTAGCTAGTGAAAAATTAAAAGAAAGCCAAAATCTCTCCCCACCATCACCACCTTGCCCTGATCTTTTTAAAGTTGCTGTCTATATTTTTTTTGTTGATCAGAGCAAAGCTATAATTAGAGCTACAACAAGCCAATAATTTCTAAACGCTCATACAAAGATTAGATAAGTGATGTTACTCACTGACAAATTAATCCCCCCCTACACTAAAATCTGTTCAAAGATTGTTTTAGAGCAAAACATTTACTTTGCTAACTTCTGATTCAAAGAGCCAGAGGATACAACTTCTCAGCATTTGTAATGCACATCGCTGTTCTCTATGACAGAAAGAAAACTCGACCTAATGGCTGACAGACAGGAGCGGGGTGAGGAGATGATTCTCACTCTATTGCTGGCATTGCCACTGACTGATCAGTCAGTCTTTGGGCTTTTGCCCAAGTTTTTCCAGCTGCAATAAGAGAGGTGTGCTTTACCTACTCCTTCTCTTAGCAGCACATCACTCCACAAACACCAGTGGGATATATTCATCCTGCTTATAGGCAAAATTTATCCTTTCTAGCCTTAAATCATAGGCAAAATTTCATAGAGTAAAGGTAAATCTCTTGTAAAATCCCCCTCCCCAAATCTAAGTACTCTACCTATACAATACAGACACAAGAATAGTTTCTTGATAATATTTGTCTTTACCGTCCTTCCCACCTGCTGCAGCTTTTTGCATCTCATTTCACAGTAGATTTAGGCAGGAGTTACATATGTTTCCCAATCAGTGTCTGATTGCCAATCATTATTTGATTCACATATAGATGGAGTTCTTCCCTGTCCAAAAGACAACCGACACTGAGGTCTCACCCATACAAAATGATCCCTGCACTTCTCTAGCTCCCCAAAAACCTCAATCGCATTAGCGTTTTAAGTGCTGCAACTTGCATTTTCCAAAGTTCAGGACAAAAGAACTGTTGAAGTACAGCTGCACAGCATCTTTCCGTATTGCAGACAACGCCTGAGGCCAGCCGGACAGATTTAGAGCAGGGCTACAGAGCTTCAAAGAGATGCCTGCCAGGCGGAGAGAAGACAGGACTAGTCCATTTGACAACTGAACTGAAACAGCAGGGGAGCAGCCCTACGAGGGATGGAGGAGGAGGAAGGGGCACGCAAAGAACAGGAAGAGAATCAGAAGGGGAGGACAGGAGGGCCAAAGGTAACGTATATATGAAAAGGAATATATACTTCACAAAAGAGACTCAGGGCAGAAAATGAATGAATAAAATACAAAACCAAAACAAATCACAGAGCAGCTAGAGGGGAAAAAATGCCTAGAAACAGCATCTCTTAACAGGCAGAGGAACTAGTGCCTGTGTATCTTATTCAAAGCCTGGGAAGGACATAACTAACAAGAACTGAATCAATAAAGTAAAATATACAAATAAAGGCAGTGAAAGCAAGTTTAGAAAAGGCTTTGAAAACATGCTCAATTTGTAAAAGTATTCTCAAGGCAAAAGAAACATGGTCATTTCTTCCACTTCAGACAGTTCTGCTTCTTCATCTCAGCTGCTTGTTGTCTTCTCCTTCTCTCCTAAAAATTCAGTAGGGTTAAGCATCAGACAAAAATACAGCCTTGGTTTCTTCTTGTGGGAGGTGATACAGTGGCAGCTTCAGAAGGCTTTCTTACTTCCAAGAACGTGTAGCTTGGAAGCCCCATCCTGCTGGGGCAAAAAGCAAACCTCTTCTTCCCCTCTGGAGGGCTCACAGTGACAGCTAGTTATTCAGCATCCTTGCCAGCAAGAGGCCATGTTTTATGAGGAGTGGGACAAGCCCAGGAGGCTCTTTTCTTTCTTAATTTGGATTCCCAACTTTCCTAGGAGGGGTTATACCTTCAGAGAGGAGTTTAGCGTTTCAGACTCTGCAGATGCAGAGTATGTAAATCGTTGTGTTAGTTTTCCAGAAACCAAAGTAAAATAGGTACAGGGAGAAGGCTCAGTGAAGTGAGTCCAGTGTAGCTGTCAAATTCTTGCAGATAAGGCCCCAGACTGATCACACCCATATCGAGCTGCCTAGAGCAGTGCTGGTCTGTGCCCCAACACACAGTGAAGAAGCCAAGCACCCGTACCATGCCCCGTCTCCGTAACCTGACATCTAAGCCCTTCCCATCTGTGAACCAGGGCACCCCTGTATGCTCAATCGCTAAATTACTGCCTGTGCCTTAGTCTAAGGCATGGGGACCTGGAAAATTAAATGAAGCAGCTGGGTAAAGAGAAGCAAACATCTAGAAGGATCAGAACCTATAATCTTATCTTAGGCTGGCAAATTCCCTTCCACCCACGGGCAGGTCTCCTCTTTCCCAACATCTCTCTCAGTGCATTCCACTTGTTTCCCCATGTAAGATCCCTGCAAAGTAGTCTCCTGTCCTTGCTCTGCCCTTGACGTGCTTGAAACATATAACTTTGCCTGAAGCTGAAGCACCAGGAGTAATTATAATGATTTGCATTACCCAGTCACATTATTGATGAAATCATGAAGCTAGAGATATAAAATCCTTAGTTAGAGCAAAGAAACTCTGACAATAGCACCATTTGGATGCACACTTGCTGTCTCTAGAAAGCTTCATCATTAAGTGCAGTCAAGCTTACGAACCAGGTATTCTACAAATGTCAGAGTCACAACGAATTTGAAAATTCAAACTCTTCTGCCTCCTTTGCCAATATCACCACGAGGGCAAAGACACTGGAAGCAGAAACCGGACACAGGAAAATCTGTGTTCAGCTGGCCACATCATCCTCAAAGCTGTAGAAAGGGAAGGATGAGAGGGCATCAAACAGGCATAAATACACCCAAGTCCTAACAGTGGCTTCTGTTGCTGAGTTTCCTCTCAACTCTTCCACAGCTATACTGGTCTAGAAATCCTCAAAAGGGAGACAGCTACACTTTCATTCAGCTGCTTTTCTGATCGCCATTGTGCTTCTAATCTACAGCAGACTGAGGCTCTTCTCTACCGTCCAAACATTCCCATTACCAGCTCTCCCATATCAGACACACTGCTTACCTGGCTTTGCCCTTACAGCCAATTCATTCAGACAGCAGCAGCCTCTGCTCTGTCATTCCTGCCTGATTTCCTGAAAATCATTCACTCTTGACTCTGTACCACTTCCCTCTGACAGGATCGAGTCCGTGCTCACAGCACATCCCAGCTCCCATGCTTGCTGCAGGTTCCATGGCTTGGCTGTCCATAGCCAGAGACCAGCATGAAGCAGGGGAGTAAGATAAGTCGTGCAGGGGAATAAGGTAAGACACAAGTCCTTTGGCATGAATCACATGGCATCACTCCCTGGGACAGATCCCTGCCTGTTCCCTGTTATCCATCTGGCCAATGTGTGGATGAAATCTGAGATGAAAGCAAAAAATTGTCATACTCCACCTCTCACCACATCTCCGATTCTCTTTGTTGTTACACAGGAAAGAACAGCGAGAATTCCCTCTCCTGACACTTGTCTGCAACTCTTTTACACGCTTTATTTGCAGTCCAGTCCTTATTTCTTGTTTTGCTTTTACTACCTGCTTTCACTGCAGTTTTGTAGCATCTATGTGCTCTAGTTTTATTTCTGCCTTTTCCTCTGGGGAAGCGGGAAAGAGAAAGATGAAACGGTAAAATTAATTTTGTTTCTTTGATAAGGCAGTTAAGAAGCACATTGGCCCCTCCGAGTATTTCAATAGTTTATCCTCTTTTCTAATATTTCTGAGACAGGAATTAAAGCTGAATGCTCAAAACTGCCAGCACATCCACATCCTCCTCTTTGAAAATTGAAAACTGAGACTAATTATAATGGCTCGCATAGTCCAATTATGTTGCTGATCTAATCAGCTAACATCAGGAGAAGCGCTGAATAAATCTGCACAATAGCTGGGACACAGAGTCAATTTCTCCCTGGCCCAGCACATTTAAAGCATGCTTATCAGCTGCATGACATCCAAAAAAAAAAAAGAGATGCTGGCTGCAAAAAGTTTTTTGAATTTTCCCCTCCCATTTGTCTACCCACATCCCAAAGGAAGAAGCCTTTAATTTACAAAGGATTTTGTTGGGGTTTTTTTTCCTGGTCCGGGCACGCCCTCTTGAAATAAAGCAAACATAAGCACTCGGGTTTCATTAGTTAGTGATTAAATATGTTATGAGACAGAAAACTGGCAGAGAAAGTAAGGCTGGTTTGTTCGTGTTGGTCTTACTGTTGGCTCTTTGTGCACACTCTGAGTGGCAGGCCTCTGTAAACTGAGCTCAACACTTGTGGGGTCCTTCTTCAACTCGACCGGGGGCCTGTCCCCTCTGGCTACTCCGTCAAATTTCAGAGATCTGCTCGGCGAAGGAGTAAATATTACTGTTGTACACTCTTTATCCTTCTCTTCCACGCCGTTGAAATTCTCTCCATTCATGCTGACTTTTCCATCTACCTGCAGAATACAGTTAAATAAATATGCTGATGCAATTAGCATTCAAAGGAATTTAAGAAATTAGGACTTCAATATAATATTACAATTGTTAACACAGTCTGCGCCATCAGTGAAGGACAGAGCCAAGCACACATTTTATTCAATGGGTGAAGACAGAAGAAAACCCTATTCCAAGGGTTTGTCAAACAAAATATAGACAGAAGGTAATAATTTTTCTGGATTCCCTGGTTTTCCATATTTTGTTCTCCCAGTAGCACACAGACACCCTTTCTGTGTATCACAGGTCGATGGATTTTAAAAGAACAACAAAGCTTTATGTTAAATTTACACCAAAACTGCTGGGTTTTGCATTGCCTCATGCAAGAGGCAAGCAGGTTCTCTGGGACTAATTATGCTGATGGACTGCTATGTAACCTGACCACCTCACCACAGTGCTAGTAGACTGTGCTTTCTGAAGCACTGTCATATGAACTTTGAAGGGTCAGGAGCAGCAGCGTTCATCCACTTGTTGCTTTACCATCCATAATATTGAAGCAAGGAACCACAAAGTAAAACTGGGCATTCCACCTTCTCCATGAGGCGATAAAATAAATAGCTGCTTTCACAGAAAATGATTTTATGCTGTCTCCATGGAAAGGAGAAAGCAGAAACAGTTTAACTTCTTTGTTCTCAGGGTCAAGCTAGCTCCTTGGTGGGCATATATTCCCACTAAGGAACCCTTAAGCAAGGAAGAAAATACTAAATAAACTCTAGCTTCTTCCTCTGCATTTATACAGCTTCCTCTCAGGACTTCGGTACTTCATAATTATGTACTGAATGGAGGTGGTATGTAAAGACTTCCTTCAATTTGGACGGCTCTTTGTAGAAGCCATGGTATACATGAAAAAAGCATTCCTACAAAGAACTCAGAAGCCATTCACCATAAGAGGGCCCAGCTGGAGAGAGATCAGAAGTGGACCAGGTATCACTAACACCTGCTTAGCTACAGCACAGAGGTTTGTAGGCTTGTCAGAGGGGGTGAGTTTTAAACAAATTTGAAGGAGGGCTTTGCTACTCTGTGCACAGAGATCCTTGCTTGCAAAACGATCATCACAGGAGACAACACAAAGGTGAGGGAGTAAATATGGACAGACTCTTCTCTTCTGATTATTTGACTTTGGGGGAATAATGACGTAGATCAGTGAATTCTTAGAGAAGCTATCTAGGATATATATGGTGATTAGTCATTTCAGGTTTCTCCACAAGGTACTGCATAAACAAAAAACACAAAGGTAAGCCATTCCATGAGAACTTTCCACTTATTTTGCTGTTACTGAAAACTGATGCAACAAGTGTCAAAACTGCTTAATCAAACTGAAATACAGTTTAAGAAAAAGTTCTACCCATCTCATCCTCCCTGCCTCACTCCTTATTTCACCATTTACTTATCTTCAGTACTTCTTGTACAGCTTGGATACCTCAAGAGCAGCACTCCAACTTATTATGTGCCATCAGCGCTAAGCTGAGGACAAACTCCTCCTGTTGACTTCTTGTATACGTGCATCCAGAGGTCTGTTCTCTGTCTGAGGGTGATTAACTAAGGGGCCATGTCTGAGGCGCTGGGCTTCCTCAGCTCTGACAGGAGTGCGGGGGGGTGAAGGCAGCCAGCACCTCATGCGACCAGCTCCCAGGCAGAGGAGAAATAGCCCAGCTCTGCAAGTGGTTTCACCCCTTCTGACTGCTTTTCAGATTAAAAGGTTCCTTCCTTTTCCTCATTGTCATCATCCACTCAACACAGTACTGCTCTTAGGGTTTATTCCCAAACGCAAATGTGGGCAGACACTGAGCCCCAAGTCTTCTGGGACTGTGTGCTGGATTATCTACCAAAGAAGCAGGTCATGAAAGATCTCAGAAATAAAAAAGCCAGGAAAACACTGGCAGGCCGCACCATCCATTTTAGTGTCTCTGTTTAGACTAAGACATTTCTCTATTTATATTAGGGAGAAAAAGCAAATGTTTGAATGATCAGGACAGATACCCTGGCTGCAGAGTTAAACAAACATACTCCTTTCCTTCTGATCTGGAGCAAGTCAACACATTGTCACCAGAGCTGAGAACCATTGACAGACTGGTGTTTCAGGGGAAAACAATGCTACAGCTACATGTGTTAGGGAATGATTCCTACTGAGGCAAATCGCAGTCTTTCACATCAAGTGAACAAGGTCTAGACAGACTTTTATTGGTGGCTGGTTGGGGGAGAAGCAATCGTGGGTTAGTTTCTCCCCACACAGGTGAACTATATATGCATGAATGTGAAGGTGATATATATATATCTTGGTCCATTGAGGAAAAAAAGTGGCATGGATCAGAAAAAAAAAACCCACCAAAGATCCATGATTCACTGATGTCTAAAACCTAAACTCTAGGGGAATACCAACTGAAGTATAGGAGAAATAGGAATTACCAGTTTCACATTTCTACTAGGAAACATGGCGGGGGAGATTTCCACAAGGGCTGGGACAGACTTCAAGAAACTACAGACATCACAACACGCTTTTCCACTATCTGTACAAAACTGACTTATTTTTTAAAAAGTAAACAACCTGAATATACACGGTAGCAATGCTACTGGGACATCAGCAGGGCTGCAGGGGCCCTTGAATGCCACTAGCAGAGAATCAGACAGCAATGGCAGACACAAGGGGACCTGAACTCTACAGGCTGGGGCACCCATGCCATAAGGCTTCACACTGCCTACAAGGTAATAATGAGACTTGGCAAAGCTCCAGTTTTAATACAGGCACTGTGAGAAGCAGATTTCTTTGAACTTGACGTATTCTGGCCTATTCTCTCTAACATATCTCAGTTCTTTGCTTTCTCTATCACAGGTTCAGTATCTTACCCCAATTCTCCACATCCACTCGGTCCAAAGATATATTCCTCAGGTTTCATAACCCAGTTTCAGTCTCTTCTCCTATCCCCTTCCTCCTCAAATCTCACAGCTGGCTCCTTATTCCAGGCAGTTCTGCTTTCATCCAAGCTCACTTACTACTTTTATTCCCATAATGTTTGCTCAGTTCTTGCAACCCAAAGCAGCCACTCCCCCTCTCTCACCAGCAATCCCCAGTTGCACTGCTGCCACAATATCAACCTGTTTTCCTTAAACATGCATTGACAGCCTATATCCCCTCTTTACGCCAGTGAAGCAGCTCTCCCATTCATCCCTGGTGAGAAGCATTTTTAGGACAGAAAGTATCTTTGGGCAAGCTGGCTCTTGACTCTGAAGGAGTTGGGACTCTCCCATCAAATACATGCACACTGCAATGCTTCAAGGGCTTATGACTTGGCTGAATGGGACAGACTTGTTTGAGTATGGCAAAAATCAGGCCCCTGACACAAAAGCCAGTTCAGGTCTTGCTCCAAATGTCAGGGCCTCCACGCTCCCTGCTCCTTCTCTTTTGTTTAAAAACAAAAACTGCAACAACATAGTCTTTCCTAACCTCTTTCTCACAAAATGCCTTGCTTTTTTCTCAGAGGCTCCCCTTTCCCTGTCTTTCCCCAAACAAATTTAGCCTGAGGGAAAATGACCAGCACAAATACTTCAATATGAACAGGTCAAGTTTCTAAAAAGGTTGGTAACCAAGAAGAGATCACTAGACTGGGCAGCACAGAGCACAAAGCTGAGCTTTATAACATCAGAATGCTGCAACCAATTTCTATTTAATTGCATTAAGCATTTGTATGTTCAGATGATTTAGTCAGGATCTCTTTGCCTCCTGATTGACTTTGGGGAGCGCAATGTATCCTACCTTAAAGTTCTTTAAAACTTCCTGTGTATTTTTGGGCTGGGAGTAAGGCTTGGGTGTCAGCATAGGCACAGCCTTGGAGACAACACTTTTGCTGGGAGATGTACGGCCCGTTGAACCACTGGGTTCTAGTTCAGCAGTGGGAACAATGGTTGCTTCAATGGTGGCAGTGAATTTTGGAGCAGGCAGCGACTGTTGCCTTAAGTATCTCAGAGGATTTGGGTCTTTCAGTGGGGAATTTGGCTCCACTGAATGGCTTCTTTCCAGAATTTTTGGCATCTGCAGACGCTCAAGGACAGCTTCACTGATAGTGAATCTTTCGATGTACTGCTGGAGGATGCTCTCAGCCTCCTCCTGTGACTTTGCATTCTTGTATGCCTCATGAAGCTCCCGCTCTCGTCTCTCTCTGCGTGGGAGACAACACAAAAGAGGTCATCATATTAAAATTAACGTTGGAAATCACTCCTATTTCCTCTGCTCCATCAACATCCTTCCTTCTCCCTCACCCCAGGTCTACAGGGACAGCTGCCCAGCTACCCATCTATGGAACAGGTCACCCAAAGAGGCGGTAGATGCCCCATCCCTGGAAGCATTCAAGGTCAGGTTGGACGGGGCTCTGAGCAACCTGATTGAGTTGAAGATGTTCCTGCTCATTGCAGGGCGGGTTGGACTAGATGACCTTTAAAAGTCCCTTCCAACCCAAACTATTCCATGATTCTGTGATCACCTATGGAGCACACAGCATTTTCAGACATGCCACTGCACTTCAGTAAAACAACATACTTCTCTTCCACAATTTCTCGGTAGGTTTTGATGCTTTTTCTGCGCTCATTTGCTCCATCTCCAGACAATAACCTTTCCATTTTCTTCCTCTCAGCTTCTTTTTTTATTAAATCTTGTGAAGCGCTCCTTCGGCGACTCTTCCATCGAGCCAGGTCCTGCAAGAGAAGGAAGGCACTTGAATGTGGAGTTGCAAATGGCTAAAAACCAGCCACAGAAACCAAGGTTTGCAACACTTGCTCCTGGCCTGCGGACCAGGCTCCCATCATCTGCAGGCAGTGATGTTTATTTTAAAGAGAAAAGGAGATAATACCATAAAATGAAGATGTTGTTTGACTGATTTTTCTCCTAACAGCAGGATCCAGTAAGGATTTCATAGCTCTACTGGTGTATTTACTTTTTGGCTTTGCAGTGTTGCAGAAGCTCACTAGGCAATAACACCAGGAAATTTGGCCTAAAGGGACCAGCCAGGGCACTCGTTTTCACTTGGGCCAACTCTAGGGACAAAGCCTGGTTCCCCAAGAAGATGACGTAGAAAAATTATGTTTGGTGAAGAATTTTAATCATGAGATGTATGGGAGGCAGGAGTTCCTTGGAGGAAGGGACATCGTTTCACCATGAACTACAGCTGCACTGATAGTCTGCCTTGGAGAGCTGATAGTCCCATACTTTGCCCATGCTATCAGCCAACTACATGCAAGCATCATTGACTCATGGTTTTTTTTTTCCTTTTGATAGAAAAGTCCAGTGCATCATCCAAACTTAAATTCTTCCTCATGGGCACCCTGCAATATTTTGGGCCCAGATCTGAGCAACACAGGTTAGGGACTAAAGTGGCTCACACCTTGTTGGAGTGAGACATGACAGAGAAAAAAAACTACGGTTTGTATCCAGTTATGTAGATATGCCCTTCTTGAAGCAATGATCTTATTCTTTTTGGAAGCTACCTGTCCAAAATTGTCCAGAAGATCCACTGACTATGGTTCTTTACCTTTCCTGCAAAGCCTGCCTGACACTAAACCAGAGAGTCACAGGAGATACCTGTTACGGGTACCTATGTCTTGCATCCTGCTTGGGTTATGAATTCACAAGTCCTGGAGGCTACAGAGACAAGATCTTTTTCACAGTGAAAGTATTACAGTAAAGAAGTTTCCTAAGCTATAAATTTTCTTTGCAGCCAACTAGCAAAGAAACAAAATTTTACATATAAAAAAAATCTCTGCAGAACTTCTGCAAAGACAGATAACCTCCTAGGAAACTGTAGGGGCACATTTGTCATTAACTTTACAACATCAGGAGATTAGTATACAGATTATATTTCATGCACTCTAACAATTTCTGGTTTTAATAAAAACCAGAGATTCTGTACACATACTCAATTCAAAGGCAATTTCATTAATTACATGGTTTTCCAAATATTTTAATTGCATTTTTATTGGTAAACAGCAGAAGGTACTGCAAGCATAACTTATTTTATTAAAACCAGGAACAAACCTTGTCACTTTTAATTTAGCTTAAACCACAAATTATTGATGTTACACTCAAGGGAATGCTCATTAAAGTATTTCTTCACATGACCTACATATATCAGTCTATAATCCCCTTCTTGAAACATAGGGCTTTTTTCCTCAGTTACTAATTATTCTCATTGAAGTACCAAAGCATTTCTTTATTCAGCTACTCCCACTATTGCCTATTGTTTGGAAATTAGTTTTTCATTAGCAAATTTCATAACATAAGCCCTCATCCTCTTTTTGTAATTAAAAACCAGACATGTTTATCTTTTCCAGCTCTGATGTTTTAGAATAACAATAATAAAAAAAAGCCATGAAACTGTTAATTGTTGGCAAATTTACAGCATGGGCATATAAAAAATAGCCGACCATGAATGTGGTGTCATCTCCATAGAGCCCTTTGAATGCCAAGGACATTCCAGTAAGGGCATTTTTAGTACCTCTCCAGAACTTTTAGTTCAGTGTAGAAGGTGCTGAGGGCCTGGAAAACTTACGCACTTTAGCTCAGAGGATTTTCCATTCAACAGCAAAGAGTTCTCAAACCTCTTGAATGCCTTTGGACTCATTCTTATCTCTGCTGGGAAATTATGGCTTCCCACACATACAGACCTCTCAGCTGAAATCCTTCATTGTTCTACTATGAAAAGTTATTTCTTAGTTGTATATAGTGTTCTTTTTTGGACTTTTTCTTGATTTTTTTACCAAAAACCTCTATCAGATGTTTCACAGTAGCTGTCCTTATAATAGGAAATTACTGTACTAGCTGCTTGAAGAGATCTGGTTTTGGTTTGTTGTTTTGTTTGGTGGTTTGGGTTTTTTTTAATTAAAAAATATGCCCCAAATTCCTCATTTAAAATAAGTCTTCAGGAATGAATAGCATTGATACTAAAACTCCTGATACTAACTTACCTGCAAATCATGCTTTTCCATCCTTACTAATTTGCTGAAGATAATGCCAAATGCCAGGACAGCTTAAAAAAAAACATTGAGGAAAGAGGGTTTGGAAAGGCCTTGTAACCCAAGCAGGGTGTAGGTAACTTGAAGGGTAATTTGTTTGCTCAGACAAGAGGGAAAATGTTAGCATTTTCTGTATCTATGCAAATTTATTAAAGCCTAGTCCAGCCTATTTATTCACTGTTTTGCTTAGTCTTGTGTTTTGTCATTTTGGGCATTTACTAATTATAAAAGTTAGAAAAATCAGAAGTTAGAAGCTCTTCTGCTTCCATTTTTACCTAATCACAGTTTAATTACATTCTTTAAAAAAGCAAAATACCTGGTGCCCATGCAGAGGCACCAGAAGGTCTTGTATTCTGTAATTTACACCAAATTATGAACTTCCATGCTTTTAGCAACAACCTATTGCGGGGGAAAAAAAAAAAAAAGAAGAAAAAAGCTCCTGATTATTTTAGTGCTAGAGAACAACTGTAGATTTAGCAGGTTGCACTGTTTTGCCCAGCTAGTTGGCCTCAATGCCAGCATTGCAGACAATGTTGCATACTCACATCTTGCCATCTGGTCTCGTCCTCTTTGAGCTGGTTGTGTATGTTCTGCAGTTTCTCATGGTGAGCTTTGCTGTGAGGCTGAGCCACGGCTTCTTCTTCACACCTCATGTCAAACATGCTCATACTCCTAAACAAGGGGGGGAATAAGAAGTGCAGCGTTATTTAGAAGCTTATATTCCTTCAGCTTGTTAGAGCTAAAGCCGCATGAGGGTGCTACAGCAGAATCAGACACCTGCACTGTAATGAAGCTCCCAAAAGCAGCAGTCCTTTAGAAGGACCGGTCAGCATCCCTATGCCTCCCATACAGTACCTTCAGGCATTATACTCCTCAACTTTCTCTTGTTTTTGTTAGCTGACAGCAAGTTTTTCTCACGCTAAGAAGCGCTACTAACATTATACCTCCATCAATAGCTCTTATTAAAATCGTTCTATTCAGAGCTGAGTTCAGAACATTTTCCTTTCTGAAGATTTGTTTCCCAGTGAGTTTTCAAGACCCCTCCAATTAACACCGCAGACAGAAGTTTCCATTTCAATGTAAAACAAGAGAGGCTTGAGAAGTATATTAGGGGCAGCATGGCTGGCTAAATGCTATTGCTACAAAACCGGGGAGAGCCTGCCCAGAGAAGTACATGCAGCGCAAACAGCATGGTACTTCCTCCTCTCCCCTCCCTGCCTTGAAGTAACTCAATGCTATCAGCACCAACTTATTAATACAGCTAACCTAACAAGGAAAAGCTGACATTCAGGACAAAACAGTTTCTTTAAACACATTCTATTTCTGTCCCTGACCTTTGGAGAGTTAAAGGAAAAAAGGTCATGGTTTGATATTATACATCCATTCATACTATATAAAGATCTTCACACAAAGATAACGTACTTACTACTCCCCCCCCAACTACCTATTATTAGTAAAACATGACCTCAGTTGTGCCATTAAAAGCAAAAAGCAAAAAAAAAAAAAAAAAGGCCATGCAGTTCCACATGAAGTGATTTCACAGCAGTCTTCAAATGATCATCTGTAGCTTTAGCTGAGCCAACTAGCAGGAGAAGCACCAAAGGAAGATAAAATTGTAGGCGACTGTGTACACAGTAATCAAAGTGAATAGACAGGGAAGGCTGTGCGTGTATATATATATATATTTAGCGGAGTGAACCACTCTCAGGGGAAAGGTCTGGACAGCGGAATGGAAAGGACATGCATAGATCCCATCCCATTAGTAGGTGTTTATTCAGTAAAGAAGGACAGAATACACGTCCTATGGCCTTTAAGTACAAACAGCGAGGTTAGCATAGTACTGTGCTTCATCCTATAAACAGAGTGCTAAGGAGGGGTACACTAGTTTGGGTTTATCTGTGGGTAGTTTAAGGGTTGCATTTCTCAGGGTTGGATTGGAGCACTCTAAATAACTGAACTGAAAGAGATGGCAAGTTTTGTTGTATTTAAAACTAAAAGCGTATCCCCTGCTAAGGAACATTAAAATATCAGCCATGTTTTGCAGACTGGTGAGATTAGCTGGGAGATGCATAACTTACAATAAAATTACCCTCAAAGGGCTTATTGCAGTTTAAGAGCTTTTGAAACTCGCCCTAAGAAAAGACTTTAGCGTTAAGTATTTGCCACTATATGTGCCTACTGGGTGAAACTGGTTGTGTAGCTCCCTTCTTCTCATGTCAGAGAATTTATAGTTCACATACAGTAGAAGAAAACAGAAGGCCTGAAATGCTGGTAAGTGGTTCTAGCAGAGTGCACAAGTACTTGCCCTCTGCCATTTGGGCTGGGAAAATAAAACTACTTTCTACCAAGAGTCCCCTGATGTCCTAATTAAAGGCTAGTGTTTATTCCCTCCGTTCACTCGGGGTCTCTCAGGGTGCACAGAGACAGCAAAACCAAAGGTTTTATGATTATTAACAGCGCAATAAAAAAAGCACACTGGAAAAGGCTTCTGCCTAGGCCAGGAATCAAACTATACACTACAACCCACGTGCACCTTCTGCTCTAGTTGTCACCTCCGACTGCTGGGCCTTCATTGCTGTGGATGAGCAACCAGATTGGTTCAAATAAACATTAATTCTGCAGCAACGTGTTATTGCTCTCCTGGGAAGATACATTTGCGCAATCAGGAGGAGTCACATCTCAAAGCACTGTGCTTTGCTCTGACCAACACGTAATAGCCATTAATGAGAGCCGCCTACTTTCCTGAATACATGGAAAAGGCCAACTGAAAGGTCTACATCGACTTCTCTGCCTGACAAGTTCATCCTCAGAAAAGAGTCAGAGGCCAAACCTCTGATCCTCTGCCAAAAGACACTTTCAATGAGTCCCACATCATTTTTTCCTATTTCTGTCTTAGGTAAACTACAAATGACTCCCGTCCATCACTAACACCTGCGTGAGCAGAGCTGGATTTACTCCGTCCTTCAACCATGAGCTGGGCCAGCAGGCACACAGCATCCAAGTAGGTGAGTGAGATGTAACAGTACCAAAATCACGTTTATGAATTTTCTGCCATTAGCAAAGCTGTCTGGAAGCAAGAGGCCTTTCTGCTGACCAGTGTACCAGATCTGCTGTTCTAACAAAGTTCTGGGAAAAAAACACAGTGTATTTTGGAGGGCTAGGTCTTTGGGATGATGTGATTTTTAAGTTATGCCACTTATTCTTGCAAATTGAAGTTGCTCTTGTCAGTGATATCATACAGCAATTCTTTTCTTTTAAACAAGTCTGAACAGGTATTGGATAAAAAAAGTCCTCAAGGACTTGAGTGTTCAGACTATTTAAAAGTAAGAAATAAGGTAAAAAAAACTTTTCATGAGAATATGTTAAAAATCCTTATGCAAGGCATTTATTAGGTATCTGCATTACCATTTTACAGGCATACTAAGACTTCAGAAATCGCAACAAAACATAAAAAGTAACAGGCTGGCTAAAGAATCAGACTCTGGTAAACAAATACTCAAAAATCTCAGCTCACTATTATTTGCTTGTCAGGCTTAAAGTGTAAGGCGTAAGCCTAAACTCAGACTGGACTGTCACACTACCACCAGAATTCAGCCCCATCTCTTTGAGAGATGGGCATGGGGCTGATCAGCAGCAACACACTAAGTATTGCCTTTTCTGGCCCTTGACAGAACAGGGCTGATGACAATATCTAGCATTCACTAACCAGCGAAGGGAACTTTCTGTCTAATAAAAGAGTTTATAGCTTTGCTGCTAGAATAAGCAGTACCTAGTCTAAGACTGAATTCAAGTTACAGAATTTTCAAAGGAGACTTGACAAACATTTTGGAAGCATTTTAAATGTCAATTCAATTTATTTTTCCTAGTTGAGAGCCAAATTTTATTAGATTCTTCGTAAGTACTTCATCTTCTGAAGGAAAAACACAATCTTACATTTATAAGAGCTTAAAAGACAGCTTAGGAAAATAGTTGCTCTATAAACTGTGGCACATCTGGAAAGGATGACAATGAGGCTTGAACATTTATTGTTTTGCCCTTTAAAACAAAATAAGAATCAATGTGGAATAAACAATATGATTTATTCATCTTTGCTACTCTCACATTATACAACCAAACGCATTGCAATGCCTCTTTGAAGACATCTCCATGTACCTTCTCTCATGTTTGCATTTAATACAGACATGCAAAAATGTGGGAGAACAAATCAATCAGATAGGTAGGCTTTCTGAAATGGCAGGGAAGTCTCCATTGTTAAGTATAACACTTCTGTGGTGTTATGCTCTTTTTATCTCATCTTTTCATTGGATTGAGCAGATTTCTACTGCTTGAAAATGATCACATTTACTCTGTGGTCAGAGGACATAGGCTTCGCTCAGCATAAAGGTATTACAGATCTTGTAAAGAATATTCAGTCCATGATTCTAGCCTTTATCATTAGAGGAAAGGGTGAAAAATTATACATGAGTCTCTATATATACTTGTTATAAAAACCCCTCCATGATGTTTCTATTTTGTGATTTAATCTGGGAGACAGAAGGTCATGTGCATTTCTTTGAACAGAAGAACGATATTAAGGACATTATTATGTGGGTAGCTCCCAAATATTTCTTTGCTTCTAAATGCCTGCACTTTGTAAAAATAGCTAATACTTTCACAGAGCTTTCTAAACAATGTTGCATACTATTCTGAACTATGGTTTACGTACGTACACACACAATTAAAATATGTTCGAGTGCAATAAATGTCACAGTCCTACTCCTTCTGTCAAAAGTAAAGCATTGAAGTGAAGAGCTTAAAAAAAAAAAAAGTTTAGCACATTATTAAATTAAAGCCAACCTGGAATGGATCCAAGAGAAAGTTTTTAAAAGACAATAAAGGAACAGCTGAAAATGTATTTTCTTGGTTATTATTCTGAAGATCACAATGGATTTTATTTTACTTTGGGATTTCTTTTTTCTTCCTGTACAGGTCATACTTCATTTTTTTTCCTCAACACCCAGCCCAGATTCAACCCAACTCTCTTTACCTGTAGCTGATTAGAGGCAATGGAAATTCAGAAGTAAAACAAAAGAAAAGAAAAGTAAAAAAAGAGGAAACGACACTTTAAGCAACAGCTGGACATTAGTGTTATGCTCAGTTTTTATGGGCTTTTATATAAACTTTTTTTTAGCTGCAATGTAAGCCGTATTGCATTCCATTTTTCAGTGCTTTTCTGAAAAATTTATTTGCTGGAACACTGCAAAATAATAATCAGGCATCAACTGCATTTTAAATTAGTAGAAAGATGGGAAAGCATGCAGTGTAAGTTGTTTAAAATAGAATCTTGGGAACACAAGACAACTTACTCTGCGTCATCAGACACAGCAGTTCTGGGGCCGAATCTACAAGACCAAATATAAAATTAGAGCGTTGATAAATACATTAAGTAGTAATTGCAACTGGACCCATAAAATTTGGGTAACTGTCACTTGAACATCCAACCTGTACTAGTAAAGCTGACGAGAAAAGAATCATACTGTTCAGGGATTATGTAGTCCGCAAACAAGACTTACCTAATCACCTGGAGGTCAAACTACATAAGAACACCACCCATCCCTCCTTGATCCCAAACTAATGCCCCCATTATAAAAATCTGCTGAAGTATACCTAAAATGGGTGTAGAAAATGGTTATTGAAAATAGACAATATATTAACATTTACATTAAGTGCCACACGTGATGAATAGAGACAAAACTTAACAGTTACATTCCACAGCAGTGCTCAGAATCACCATTACTGAAGCATGGAAGAGAGTGAGCCACAGGATTTCCTTTTGTTGTTGTTGTTGTGGGTTTTTTTGGGGAGTATAGCTGAAAAAAGGTACTGATAATACACAAGTCAGTGTCATTCACTAAGGTGACAGTCTTGTTTAGAGCCATGCAAACCATGTATTTGTATCTGGGATTTATCATAAAAGAACATCAAGTACAAAAGTGGACACTGCAACATTTTCTAATAATGGAGCAGCAAGATACACATCCCTAAAAAAGCAGAGTCCAGTTGAACCTCTGCTATTCATAAACCTTTTTTGCAATTCAACATATACACTGTAATCAAATATTTCCTTTCAGTTAGCTTTCATTTCAATATTTCAAATGAAAATACATTACACAGCTATTCCATTTGTTTCTAAGAAGTGTGTTACTGACATACAGTATTTAGTCTGGACTGAAAACACACCAGGCAATGCACAATCTGAATTCTGAAGTGTGCACACAGGGGCATACAAGCTGCGTGATTCACACCATACAGAGCTCACGTTTGCAGATGCTCATCCTTGGATGACAATGTTTCTGTTTCGTTTTCCTCAGGAACCTCCTGAAGCTTAGATGTTTGACCAAGATGAACTTCCTTAAGGCTACCTTCACCCACCTGGGCAGTACAAATAGTCTCATCTTGTTCTGCAGGAGGGAGATTGCATTTTTCCTGCCCTCGCTGCTGTTCTTGCAGTGGTTGTATGACAGGTTTTCCAGAGCTATTAATGCCGACTTGTGGACATTTTTCAGGCCTGAGTGAGCCAAAGGCAGCAGTGCAAAGAGATGTATTAAGCAACATTTGAAAAATCACATATACATAAAGAAAAGCGTGACTGTAAGTTAACAAAAAAACCCCCACAAACCCAAATGGCTGATAGGTGACAAGCTAAGTGAGGCAAGTACGCAAAACAGAACTTTAATATCAAATGTTTGTATTTCCATTCCTCTAAGTCAGAAACACAAACTGTCCTGGACACCGCCAAACATTAAAGTATTTTAACTAAGCTACTCAACTTAAGGTCTTCCCAACACCAAGCCACTGTTCAGTTCTATGGTAGATGACATTTTCATTTCTCCTGGCTGAGCTGTACACTAGTTTTTCATCTGTGTATGCACTGGGACATGCATATCCTTCTCCTCATGTCCGTTTAAGAGGCTGATGAGTAAGAATCTTTCCACTCTCTCTTGCATGTGGGTCAACTAGCCAAGGAAAACTCTGTTCAAAGGCTTAAACCACCAACTTCTCCACACAGCCTCATGCATCTGAACAAAGGTGCTTAGAAAGACACCAAGCATTATCAGGAAGGATCTCAGGATCTCTAGATCTGCTGTTTGGAAGTCACTGGCACCAGCTAAGCCATAGACAAGCATCTACTGTACCCAGCACCCCTATTTCTAGCTGGAAACATTTATAATGATGAGCTTGTATTTGACCTGCAAATGTAATGCAACCTTGCTACGCATATCCATTTCTATATGCTGTTAGAATTTTGCATCTGGTAGAGCTCTGCTCTAAGTCTTTACAGGGCTTTATCAAAAGGGCCAGAAACCCTGCATTGCCTTCTTTTGAGCAGAAAAAGTCGGCACAGAATCGAGGACAAGTATGGAAGAAACTGCTGCTGGGCCAACAGCAAGTCTCGCAGACGAAGAGACCTTGACAAGCAGCCCACAGGGCCAGCTACAAGGGCAAGAGAGAAGCACAACTTTCTTACCTCGTAGCTTTCTTCTCAAGTTCTCTAGCTGTGCCCTGCTTATTCTGCTTCTTTGAAAATGGCATGGGAAGGAACTGCTTAACACTGGGCCCAGGCTGTTTTAGAAAAGCTCCAGTTCTTCTGGCCAACATGTCATCTCTTTGCGGGTCTGGAAATTTCACTTTGTTTTCTGTTCCACCGCTCTGCTGCTGAGGGATTTCAAGCTGTTCTTGGCTCTCTTCTCGTGTGACAGTACTGCTCAGAGAGACAAGTGACACTGTTCCGTTATAACGCTCACTTGTACAGCCCAGGGCAGGTGGCTGCTCAGGCAACGTGCGGTACTGTTACTCAAAACACAGTTGCGGAGTGATGGACAACTAGGTATCTTTGGCTACAGAGCAGGGAGTGAGAGCAAGAGGAAACTATGTTGAATGGCACACTTGTGTAGGTGATACGTTAGAAGTTGGGGATTACGTAAAAAGGTATGCGAGGAGTTATTCACTTGGAAGCTGGCATAAAAGTATGGACAAAGCACCATGGATTACAAAAGAAATCCCCCCAAAAGATGAAAGACTGTTTTCATGCTGAAGAGCAACTAACAACTGAAGTACTTAAATATTATGAAAGAAAACAGACTGTTTTATGTTAATGTGATACATTCTTGTAAGTAATTTCATAAAACAGAACACATGCCATGATGAATGAGTAAAACACATCTTTAAAGGCTGTGTGAAGAATGGAACAACACTGCTGACTGATCCAAGCTAACACCACACACAAACCAGGCATGAGGCTCAGAGGGATCTGCTTCTGTTCTCTGACCTTTCTGCTTCCCGTGGAGTCTTCAAATCCTTCTCACGAGCTACTGCCTCCCCTTGCTGCTGCTGCAGCAGAGGAGGAGCTACTGACAGGGGAGGACAATGTATGGGAACAGGGCTAATGGTACGCCTCTGGAAAGTTCCCATCCTTCTAACCAGCATATCATCTCTCTCAATGTCTGGTAAAATCCCGTCGCATTCTTCCTCGGTGCTTTCTTGCCGTTTGTTCAAACCGCACAGGGTTTGTTTCTCAGAGATGATGCCAAAAGCTGGGACAGGTGACAGCATTCTCCTGCAAGATTCATCTGTACCTGACTTGGCTACCTCACTAGCAATGAGATTGAGAGGAGGGGTGAGGTAGACAAAACAAGTAAAAAAGAAGAGTCCTCCAACTCAGTTTGCAAATGATTTATAAACACACAAACTTAACTGAATGATTTACTTGCTAAAAGCACTCATTAAAAATTCTTGGTACAGCCACAGACTAAGCGATTAAAGAAAAGCCAAATAAATGTAAGCTCTGTTAATATGTTAACTTCCCAGAGCTGTAATTCTCCTCCAGATAAATGCCAGAAACACAGAGCACCAATACACTTTGGTTTCAGCATTACATCTTCAAAAAGAAAGTAAATCCATTAAGTTTGAAGAAAGCATTTTTTGAACATCAGTAAGGCCAGCAAGCTGAAGGACAAATTCCCAAAGTGCTGAAAGCGGGCAGAGCAATGCGGCTGGAATTCAAGAAGCACAAAAAGCTTGAACAACAGCTCGGACTCTGAGATACCAGCGATTTCACTGCTTATCAGAAATCCTGAAGCAAGCTCTCAGAAGACCTTTGCACAGTGTTGTTTTGCATAACCCTAAACTTGTTAAGATACTGTGAAGGCGTCAGATGACTTCTGAGCAAGGCCGTGCGTGTAAACAGCTCTTAGGCCTATGCTGCAGTCCACCCCCATGCAGATCAGCATCTGGCAAGAACAGGTCTCATTTCCAGCTCAGCAGCACTTCCTAAGCCACACCAAATACCTGGACTCATTCTGTGGCTTGGATACTTCATTGCTGCGTTCAGCAAACCCGAGGCTGCCAACAGTGGTTGCAGGAGAGCTTTCAACACCGGAGTGACTCTCCACACCGTCTTTCTTGCTTTCCTCTTCTGTTCCACCCTTGGACGAAGCTCTGCCAATAACAAGCCTGTCCCATTTCTGTTGATCAATCTCAGTTACTGGCCCAAAATGCACAAACTTCTGCTTGGGGCTACCAGCCTTTTTGTTTGCTCTGGCTTTGCGGACAGCAAAATCATCATGGACTGCTGCTTTCACCGTGATTTCAGCTGGTGGCACTGTGTCACTGGGACATTTGAAATCTTCTTCACTAGTCAGAATGAGGAATAAAAGAATCCCCCCCAACATGAGACCCCAGAATAAAGGAAATTAAATGCTCCTAAGGTTTTGAAGGGGTTTTATTTTAAAATTCAAGGACATGGGTACAAACAGCTGTGGCATACCGAGGCCCAAATGACAGTTAAAATCCAAAGATACTGCAGACCTGTTGGGGAAACTCTGGGAGCACATCCATGGAAGCTCTTCCTTAGGGGAAGGAATGTAGCAGACAGCCCATTCCAGACTCAGGTCTTCACCCTAACAAAGTCACAGTTCCCTTATCTGCTCATGTAGACCTAGGCCACATGCTATGTGGGACCACATGGCACCAGTGCACCCACCTTGTCATGGGGGAGTTCCAGTGGCATGAGAGCACTAGCAGGGCAATGCACTTATCCTGAATCAAGGGGACTGAATCTTGATTTTAATAAGTCACCTCAAAAGTAATGGAGAGACTACTAATATCTGGGAGACGAGAGAATGATTGAGTTTTGATAGTTTGTATTAGAGCTAAAATTACACACAGTAACCACATTGTTAGAAAAATGCCTGAACAGATGGCCACTTTTAATTGCAAAACGGCCCGTGCCTAAACAGGAAGGCTAGGGGTTGTTATCCTTTCCTACTGGAGTCACAAATCACCTGCATACATTATAGCCCATCTCCATAGGGAAACAGCCTAGAATAACTCCTTTATACCA